CGTCCTCTGAACAGCTCAACAGTGACAGCTACACGAAGAACCGGTCACATTTTATAGATTCACGGATTATGCCATCAGGTCATCATTTTCCAGCCCTGTGCCCCCCCCCCCCTTTCTGGCTCTGGCCCTGGCTTTTTTGGCTTCGCCCCCGCATGTCCGTCATAACTAATAGACCCGCCCAAATTTCCGTACCATATACCACAAAACGCGGTTCGATCGAGACCTGCATTCAACGCGTTAATTTGGTGGAAAGCCAACTGCTGTCCGTTGATGCAGCGACTCATGCTGACATCTTTCAGTCCCGAAAAGGTATAGGGGTCATATTTTCTTGACCTTTAACACAGTATGTCAACTGAAGTGACGGAATTCGTCTAGTGTCATCTATTTCTGGGTGACTGAAAATTAGCCGGTGCGAAAGAGTCAGTCGAAATATTATCTGCTCAACACCAATGAGGCCCCTTATTTTTTTCCGGGAAAAAAGGGCTCTTGAAAAGAGTACTAGGGGCACGTAATTGTTCCCGGTCAAGGGCTGAAGGGCTATTCCGTTCCACCGCGGGATGTCTTCCGGGTACCATTCCGGCGACACGGGGTGGCATCCCCTGGCCAATCTGGATACCTTTAGAGGGCTACGTCATATCACATTTCTCCCTTCCCTGACGCCGGAGACCTTCTGACCCGCGTAGTTGACCCTGGATCGACGCAGGATCCCTCATTGACGCAACAACATACTTGATCGCCGCAGGTGGTCCAATCCTTTGCACATAGACTCCAGTTCGGCTTAACGTGCCCGTGCTAGAATTGGGTTGGAGGGCCCGCCGTTCGGTACTGGGGCCCTGACTGGCACAGAACCTTTCATTATCTTAATGTGAGCTCTCATCATAAATTCGAATGTTTCCTTGCAGTGTAAGAGGGTCCCGACCAGCGCAAGAGGCCGTCTGCCATTTGGGGTCCCCTCCCCGCCCCTGTTGAGCAAATACTGTTCTGACCGCCTCGAGGCCCCTTGCTGACACAGAATACCCTGTTAGTAACTGTGAGTTCCGGTACGATACATGAGCCCCGCATTGTTGCCGGGGCCCTGATCAATTTAGATCGCGGGCCCGGCGGTGTCCCTACTTGGGAAGTGGGCTCCCAGAGCTCAGACAGATGCGAAGCCACCGTTCGGTGTTGGTGATCTCTGGCCAAGAAAGACCAACACTCTGTCTCAGGAATCCCAAATCGGTAGAAGAGGCTCTCCAACTGGCATTTGAGCCCAAGGACCTACGAAGCGGGGGGGGGGGGTCCTTAATTCGACATATCGCCAGCCATGCGGGCCTCCAGCACTCCAATCGGGCCTTTGATCTTTGGTCTTAAGAGACTCTTTGGTTCCTCGTTGCCCTCCCCCCCCCCCCCCCCCCTACAAACGCCGCTTCTGACCGAACCAAGTTACTTGCCGCCCACAGGACCCCTGTTAAGCCGTGTGGGCCCTGACCAACACAGAAACCCCTTACTGTATCAGGGACCGCGAACATTGGGGCCCGGGTCCAATCGGGCCCTTGATCTTTGGTCCCGAGGGGCCCCTCCGGCTCCACTTCGAACCTCCTCAAAGTCCATGACCGAATAGGAGCCACAAGCCGACACAAGTCCCCTTACCAACACAGGGGTCCCAAACCATTTTTTCAGCGACCAAGACCAGTGCAAAGCGTGGCCCCCTCTCTCCCTCCTGCTTGGGAAATGGACCACTGAGGGTTCAGACTGGTAGGGGGCCAACTGTTCGGTGTCGAAATCCCTGGCCGACTTTGAAACCCGCATTACCTCAGTGGTCCTCAAGTGGTGTAGGAGGGCCACTGACTGATATTTCAGGTCACGCCCTACAGGCCGCGATTCTTTCAGTGACCTACCGTCAGTCCTCCGGGCTCTTGTGCACTTCAACCGGGCCTTTGACTGTCGATTCCGTTGGGACGCCCGGCCTCTCTTCGGGCCTCTCCAACACTGCCTGTGGTCCTCAACCAAGGGTTCAAACAAGGGTTCGGACAGTGGTCTTCAAGTGGTGTAAGAGGCCACTGACTGATATTTCAGGTCACGCTCTACAGGCCGCGATTCTTTCAGTGAACTACAGTCAGTCCTCCGGGCTCTTATGCACTTCAAACGGGCCTTTAATTGTCGGTTCCGTTGGGACGCTCGGCCTCTCTTCGGGCCTCTCGAACACTGCCTCTGGCTGACTAGGGGCCCCTTGCCAACACGGGGTTCTTTGTTAAACACTGTAGACCCCTAACAGATACAGGGGCCCGGTCGTGTAAATCACTGGCGCCGGCTTTGTCCCTGCTTGGAAAATGGGCCCTTAGGCCCATGCCGCCACAGAGCCGACTGTGTGTTACTGGTAGTGTCTGACCAACGAAGAGGCCCTTATTTACTCAGGGGGCCACTGTTCAGCGCGCAGAGTCCTCTGGCTGGCATTGTGGTGCCTGACCCCGCAGGTCGTGCCCCTGAATATGACTTCCGGCTGACATTTTGGGCTCTTCGGACCCTCAAAATGGGCCCTTAATAGTAGGTCCTGAGGCGCCCTTCGGGCTCCTCGAAACCTAAGAGACACGTTCCCCCTGTGCTCCACGCCCCCCCCCCCCCCCCCCTCCTCCGTCCACCTGCGCTACTGGATACAGCAGTGGAACTACAAGCACTCACATCCTGACGGTGTAAAAATTCCTTCTTGCTTGCACCGTCAGGTAGCATACAATGTAGAAACTTAACGTAGCAACTTAATGTAGAAACGAAACAATAAACTGTGCTTACGACCGCTATGCTTGCGACCGCCATGCGCAAAACAAGCGTGAAATGTTTAATTAAGAAGCTCCGAAGTACAGGGGTTGATTTAGATCGCCCATGCCTTACCTGGTCGTCCCCGTCTCCCACTGCCAAAAACACGTGCCGCCGCCTGTGGTTAATGTTGTGTGTCTTTAGACTGTGGTCTTATTTCTTAAGTGCAATGGGCAATGTAACATTCATCTTACTTATGAACCAACTGTACACCGCGAAAACACGACGAAACACGCTTGACGAAATGGGATCAAATCAACGTGTTATTTTACTTCGCACTGCCGGCCCCTCCATCATGGTACCGCAGACCCCAAACAGCTAACACGTGCTCACGTGCTTTGCTATGCGCCAGTTTTAATAATTTTAAGGTGCTGAATACACCTGTCATCGTCACACACGGTTTTCTTTTCAAGCGTCTGTCAGTGGCCGTCCTAGAAATAAAGATACCCTCCTTAATCTGGAATTTCTCCAGGTTGCCTTACAATCTTAGACTTATCTTTTCTCCATGCGGTACAATGACCAGCGTCAAGGGCGTGTTTCGACACGCGCAGATGGCTTACATCTCCACTGTTTACCTCTCGTTCGTGTTCACTCCCGCCGATACACCCTGGTACTCCATCTGTACTCTTTTTAAGTCCTGATCATTTCAGAATGTCATATGCGTCTGCAGGAGCGGCACCGTGGATTTTGATATGAGGGAGCAGGGTTTTCTAGGCGGTCTCGTGGACGAAATGGGGCCTCCTGACAGAGGGGCCTCCTCACAAGGGTATGTGCATCCGTATCAAATTGTTGCATGTATCATATCCAAGTAAAGAAATGACTACAAATAGAAATTCCAGAATGAATGCCTTCTGATTATCCGGAAGAGTCGAACTATCCTAGACGGGGGCTTCTGTTCCGGAAATGGGATCCCTGGTGCATAGAGGTCTCTCCTATCCCAGAACAGAAAGATTATGTATGACGAAGGCCTCAGAATCTACCCAGGGGGCCTCGTTATACCAAAGCAGGATATCCCGATTATAAAAAATGCTACTGTCTGACGCATGACAGGGGCATCCTGTTTACGAAACTGGGCCTTCAAAATATAGAGGATGCCTCCTAGCTCAGAGCAATGACCTCTTAGCTCGTAACGGGCCGCCTACCGAGGCAGTAAGGAGCCACCTTAACATATCATTGGGCCTGCTTAGCTAGAGTATCGGCTACCACTTTCATTGGTGGCTTTATGATGTAGAAAACAGACCTCTTGGTGTAAAAACGGTCTTCTGAGCCAAGCTTCTTGTTCTCTAGCTTAGTTATGGTGTTACTTTGGTCTGAACTTTGGTAATTCACAGGTAGCATCAATGCCTTATGTTTGGAAAAAAGGGGCCCGCATAACTTTTGAGGGAGTAAACACATACCTTTACCCCTCTACCTGCCGGCATGGGAGGCAACCCCCCCTCCCCCCCCCCCCCCCCCAGCTGCGCATGCCACCAGTACCGCATATTCGTTGCAGTACTTTAGTTGTCAGTAACCATCATAGGAAGATGCCACGCCAACCTTTCTTTCTTCTAAGCTGTCTAAAAATCTAAGACTGCCCCTAATCCCACTCCTTACAGTGACCTGTTCCAAAACCTGGTGACCTGTTAAGATATGCCCGAACAGTTAACATCCGCACTGCTTACCACTCTGATATTCAAGCCTGTACTCAAGCCTCTGCATGTTCCCCCACAAACACCTTTTCACATAGGCGTATGTAAAGGTCAACTATTTCCGCCTTTTGCTTGGTTTTTAACAGATCAATATTAAAGCTTATGACAGTGGCAAGCAACAGCGCATCATTTGCTTATATTATATTGCATTGCGTGGCATTTTTAGTCGGAGTGGGTAACGGCTTCACCAACCGTGGGTCGGAACTGGAACCGATTCCACATAGAGCGGAGTCAAGTACACGTCTGCCAATGAAACACCGGACTGGTTGACGACTGGTTCGGCGGCAAATTGGTGGTGGCAAAGTCCTACGCGCTACCAACTATAATAAGACCAGTATCTCATCCACCGTTCGGAAACATGAACCATCGGTGAAACTAACGAGCCGATGCCACGCAATTTTTAGCTGTGGCGGAAGTGCGCCCTTCTGCGCATTCACGGTGGGCCAGTGTGAATGGTAAGTTTCGCCTCGACTGAGATGCTCCTTATTCAGCAATTATAATGAAAGGATTTCAAAACATAAACATACCGCTATTTAAATGTATTTATGCTACTGGCCAGCAGGCTCCCGCACAATGCTCAGAAGTTTCTCTATCTTCTCCAGCTCGATTTCGAAACACCGCTTCGCGTCCGCGTTCTTGGCCTCTTTTGGCTTCTTTCTGAGGTTAGGGGAGAGCTTAAGTGACGTCACGTTACCGCGTTCGTCACCGACAAGGATGATGGGGTGCACCAGACTGAACGACACCTTGGTCATGCGCGTCTTCTTGACGTCGATGACCGCCTGGCAGCAGATGGGCCGGTACTTGTCGATGTCCAGGTCGAACACATGCACGCGTCCATCGATGGTGGAGGCGGCGAACACGGTGGACGAGTATGGCGCCCACGCGACGTCACCCACCGGCGCGGCCAGGTCGAACACGAACAGCGGCGTCAGCACGTCCTGCTCCCAGATCTTCACCGTCCAGTCGGCGCTGCACGACGCGAAGATGCTCGTGTGGAAGAAGTTCCAGTTGATGTTGTAGATGCTCTGCATGTGCGCCGGGAACGAGGACAGATAGCCCGACGAGTAGGTGGTGGAGCAATTGTAGACGTTGCCTTCCTCTGTGCCGACCAGGAAGGCAGCCGGGTCCTTGCGGTGGAAGGCAAACGTGGTGCCGCAGCCTCGCACTGGTATCACGGTGCCGTCAGGGCCTTCGTTCTTCACCTCGGGCATGCCCAAAGTGGTAACCTCAGTGCAACGCAGCTCCGACTGCACCAGCTGCCAGTTCATGACCCGGCCGTCGGCCGAGACCGAATAGAAGTTGTGGTTGCCGTCCATGTTGTCCTGTCCCCAGTGAACCTTGTTCACGCTATCCGAATGGCGCCCCTTGACGGTTTTGCTCAGGCATATTGGCTCCCTGCCTTCAGTCTGTAGACTCAGCACGCTCACTGTACCATTGTACATGCCTATGCAGACGAGGTGCGGATACGTTTGGTGGATATCGACACACATCACCCCGGAGCTTGTTGACAGATGATACTCCGGATAGGTTGGATTCTTGAGAGTGTACAAACACACTTGTCCGTATGATTGGCCCAGGAAGTTATACGATCCAAACGTAGCGGCGAATAGGTCTGTGTACGTATGACTCCAGCAGATATCCGTGACGGCCAGCTTTTTAGCGGGGTCAAAACTAAACCGCCATAGGGGAAGCACAGTGCCCTCTTTGTCCTTGAACTCGTCTGACGCGTCCTCGTAGTACTTGAAATCTTGCGCAATCTCGTCGTAGGTGTTTTGGTTGATGATTCGCTCGGCAGTTCGGGTCTGTCTGGCTACCTTGATAATTTCCTGTTCGTCTTTACGCTCTAAACTCACATGCACTGGTTTATTTTCTGCGTGTTTTGGCTGTGTCTTGCCTTGTGCCTGCTGTTTTTCCTGCTGCTGCTGTTCAAAGTTCGTTTGGTATGTATCGTAAATGTTCCATGCATTTACGTTCGATGAAATAGTAGCTCTGGGAGGGGGCTGAGTTTCGACGTTGGCCTCCTTGTGTGTTTGGTTCATTGTTTGCGACGCACGTTCGCAAAAATTGAAGGCATTCGTCAGCTTCTTTTTTGGCCCTGATGATGCTTCTGCGACTTGGTTCTCAGCACCCTCTTCCTCTTCGCCGGTAGCAGGAGCCCCAGGGTCATCTGCTTCCTCCGCTTTACTGAACTCGGCCTCCTCGGGCTCTGGTTTACTTTCATCCTCTTCTCCTTGTTCAGCCTCTTCATCTGGCTGCTCCTGGTCGTCCTTGGTTTCATTCGCCTCCGCTGTGTCATCCTCCTCTTCTTCCTGAGGAACCTCATCGACGCCCGATTCAAGCTGGACTCTAGCTTCGGGACTGTCAATGTCGAGTAAGTAGCCGTTTTGTGTAAACAAAATCAGTGTCCCTTCATCACAAGGCTTGGGAACAAATGTCAAAACATGGTTGCTGAATTGCACTTGGTTTTTCGGCGCTTGTGGGTTAACCGCCGTCAAAACGCGGGTGATTTCTTCTTTAAGTTCCTCCGCAGAAAGTTGAACCTGATTCGGGGGCTTTATCATGGTCCTTGATTTCCCATAGAAGTCGTTTGTTGACCCCTGACCAGCGAGGCCTAAGGACATTCGACGACTTTTCTCAGCATGCGCTTCCATTCCCACCCGCGACTGCTTCGTAGCCATGATTTCGACGGATTATCAAATTACAAACCAACTTAATTCTCCAATGCCTCGCGTTCAGTAGTTTCAATTTAAATGGCAAATCCTACATTTCCATTTGATAGACCCACCCTGTCCTTACCGCGCAGAGGCACCCCCTCAGATGTCCACTCCACTAGAGATTCCACAGTTGCATTGCATAGAACCAACTGATGATAGCCTTAGCGGTTGCCATGGTAACGGCCCCGCTTGCACGCCTGACATCGCGCTTTCGCCCAGCTGTAACGCGGGTTTCAACATGTGTGGAAACTTAAAGTGGCAGTTATTCTTTACAATTTCGTAGGCATCGGTGTAATACGCCCATCATAACCAGTAGACAACTCTGCAAGAACTGAGCATAGGAATATGCAGGACACAATAATATAAAACTATATCTGTTACCATATCTGTGCTCCCAAATTCCATCTTATTAGCTGGCCACCAAAATGAGCTACAATTGATCAAAATAAATACTTGAAACCAAATTGGATAATCTTAGCAAAACTCACATTCACCACCGATTGGATGATTGCCACATTGATTGATGGACGTTTTCACCACTGGTTTAACGAATTCTCACCAAAATATGTTGGGAAACAGAGAATTTGTTCCTTAAGTCGGGATATTTAGCTCCACCAGCAAAAGCAGCCATATTTTAAATGAAACCAAACTGGCATCAACTCGCGAATGTGTTGGGATGTAGACGCCACCATTCACCTTGGCTTCTCGTTTTGAGAGCGAGCCGCTGGCCTTCATTGAATTTCGCACATACCTACACGTCCAGGGGCGCATACAGAAACATGCAGGGAACACGTTCTCTCGCTAAGGCTCTGAGTGGCCTTCGGTCCTTTCGAGACAAGCTGTCGCGGGCCCGATTCCAGGACCCTAAGGGCTGACCGGGGAACGACCAGTGGCCAAAGGTCTGACTCTCAAGTCACCTTAAGGGCCACTCTGGGCCTAGGGGTGGGGAGGGGGGCTCCCCGGGATGATAAAGGCCTTCATGTGGGTCGGAGACCACCAATGCTGAACGGTTGTCTCTTAGTCGCATTGGACCTTGCGGCCCATTTACGAAGCAGGAACAATGCTGTGGTCCACGATTATTACTGAAGGCATTCTGCGTCGGTCGGGACCCCTGAAACAAGGTAGCCCAAGTAAAAAGATTCCGAGTGCTTAGCAGGGGAACCTGTGTCAGCAAGGGGCACCGAGTCGGCCAGGGACACATTTGACTGAAGAGGAACAGGACGGGGCCCTGAAGGTCAGAGGGCCACTTGCATCAGCCGGGGTCCTCTTGTTCCGACATTGAATGGAAACAAGAGAAATGACCACGGAATAGTCCACAATGAGACAATAGAAGGGTCCTCCCCGTAACGGTTCCCAGTCCCAAATAGGGGATCCTTTGGAGTCCCTGGGCCCGGGCCCCGAAGCGGACCCGGGGGCCTGTTTCAGCCGGGCCTGATAAGTCCAGCTGTGGTCCATAATGTGGGCCATGTATGTGCTTATATAGCATGTTTTATTTTTGTGAACATTTTCTTTCGTACCTTTGTGGTTTGATGAATTTGAGATAAGGCTGATGTAAGGCAGGCTCGTTGTGTGAGCCTTGTCTCCAACATCCTATCGGGAAGCCTTCATTCCATGACAGACCTTTATAGAAAACGTTTCACGCACCGTAATGTTCGGCACAGTCTCTCGCCTCGTCAATGGCCGCAGACCAGCCAAGTCAGAAATTAGATAGAGAGCGCATATGGACGCAGCCAAGAGAGGATGCAAAGGCCCTTTCCCACCCTACCTCCATGCGTCTACCTCAATTAGGTCCGCATTTTTATTTTGGCACCATAAATGGCTCCTGGCAGTGAAACAGAAGCATGACAAGTTATCACTGGCACCATCGGTGGTGTATCAGCGTATCTGATGCTAGATTGACCGTTTTGAATTTCTGATTCAGCTGATGATCAGATCATTGGTGGCGTATCGGCTTGTCTAATGTTTAACTGGCTGTTTCAATTCGCTGATTTTGTTGGTGATCGTCAGTATTTTGGTGCTGAAAGTAGATATTCTGGTTACGTAATTATTTTGTCCCGTAATATCTTTCAGTAACGTGGCGCATGAGAGTCAATAGTATACGCCAATATATTTCAGAGCCGATTTTTGATGTGGTTGCGGGGTCCGCATAAGAGTGGAGTGTGTATGTCGCCTCGAGTGAGGTCGTGTTATACGGCCGCGGTTGTGTTGCTGCTTTAACGGGATAGGTGCATTTCACACCATGTGTGGGGAAGCGTAGGGAGGGACGTCTTCAGCATTGGATTTTCACATTTTATTCAGTTTCAGTTGTTTCCTACACTGTTCCGGCTTTTTCACTTCCTGCATTGTCCTGATAGTTCAATTGGTTAGAGCGCCTGCCTTCCGAAAGGCCCACCGATGGCGGGGGTGGGTGTGAATCACTTTGGAACTCACTATTTTACCTTGACATATATGAGATCACGTACAGAGGGCAGGGCAGACTATGTTGAGCATTGCAGCACATTTAAGTTTTGTCTCCAAATTCTGTGTTTAACCTGGTATTGCACAATTGAATGGTAGGAGTCAAGACTCATACAGAAAGCACCACTTCATGTGAGCTCCAATCCCAGAAGTCCATCCATTCAAGAGGTTTGGATGAAATTTGTGAAAGCAAATTGTTGCTGACCTGGTTTTAAGGAAAACATGCAGTGTGCATGGAAGCCAGGCTACCAACAAAAAAATGTATGATAGACTTGTGTTAGTGTAGTGAATTTTGCTTTGCAGACTGGCATAAAATCTGCTGTTTGCTGTTGAAGGAGCTGTAGCACTGTCTCAAAAATGGTTTTATCCTACCAGAATGCAAACCTGCCCAGGGACTGAGGAATGTCCCAGGTATGGGGGTGGTCAAACCCATCCAAGTCAACTTTGTTCATGTACTACCATTGGGTCATTAAACACTTCTATGAAAGCAGGGCCATTGATGTGCCTTCTCCTTTCAGCACTCAAGCTCCAATTTTTTCAGGCTTCAGTCCATTGCTGTGTCCACTACTTCCATTTCAAGATTGATGTTTTCCTGAAATCTGCCCACATTATACCATATGCCACCTGGTCTGCCCTTAAAATTTGTTTGAAATGAAGGTCAGACCACAACTTCCCAGTCCTGATATGCTAGCAATTCCTATCCACCTAGAGCCATGCACCTAGCACTGTAGCATGAACATGGCACTAGTACAGGAGATGGGCTTCAGTGCTTGGTACCAATGAAGTGGTTGTTGAGGGACATGAAAAATATTGGCTGCAAGTTTGCAATTTTGGCATGTCAAGGTGGTCAAGATGATCCTTTACCAGCATCTCTTGTTTACTATTGTGAACATGGGGAGAATGTGTGTTTACTCTCAATGACCTGTAGGCCTGCTAGATGCCTACATGTGTTCAAGTATGTATTTCAATTAATTCCAAGATGGTGTCTTGCTCTAGCACACTATGGCTGTGATACCTCAATATGCCATACCAGCATGGCCCTTCAATGTCATCAAATCTCATCCAAGACTATGGAGGTTGCGAAATACCCTTATAGTGCCTTCAGTTGGAGTTGCATCCAAGCTGTTCCTTGGTGGGTATACATTATTCTTGGGAGAGCATTTGTTATTCATTGCTTTTGGAAATAATTTCTGGTCTTGTAGAACAGGTCATGCATTTTTGCTTGAGTGCAGTGTGCATTTGGTCAAGCATTTATCCCCATTTTTGCTCCTTTGGAATAAAATGAAGAATAAAATGAAAAAAGGAATATTTGCATTTTTGGTATTGGCATGTATGATGTTTAGCTACCTCCACCATATTTGATGTATCACCAAAATGGTGCAAAAAAGGTGTGCACAGTGACATTTAGCAGTGTATTGATTGTTTTCACAGAGTACCTGTGCAAGACAGTGGTGCACAACCGGGAAGCCTTGCTGGATGCTGTGGGAAACCGGCAACCGGGCCAGGGCCTGATCACAGTCAGCAACCATCATTCCTGCATAGATGACCCTGCCCTAAATGGTATGTGCTCAAAGATTATGGCTCATCACGTGGACCGCTTATGTGAATAGCAGGTTGACTTACACCAATATTTCAAAACAAGGAGCCAGGGGCATGTGGTCTGTTGTCCAGATGTAAGCTGTTGCTGTTGTGTAGCTCAAATGAGCAATGATTATCCTCCAGGTCCAATCAGCCAGGTCCTTAAGCAAACCATTCAACTTAAAAGTACAAAAAGCACAGGTAGCATGATGAGACTACATTGGTAAGAGCATCAATAAAAATCATTGTATGTAGTAACATTGCCTGTAGGTTTTTGAGGAAGAAATTGCTTTAAGGCCCGCATTGCATATTCCAAACATTTTCCCTCCAAGGTTTGTTGTTGGGGCAAAAAATGACATGGTATCAGCAAAATTATACTTGTTTTGTGTATATCACTATGGTGAACTTATGAAAAGTCTTGGCACATGATGTGTGTGGTAGCTACTCACAGCACACCTGCCAGGTACGATGAGCCGCTGACTGACGGCTGGTGCCGGCGCCTGCCCGGGCAGGGATGCTGCAGTGGCGCCACCTGTTGAGTCCGGACGTGATGCGCTGGTCGCCGGCCGCCCACGACATCTGCTTCACCCGGCCTCTGTACGGCTGGTTCTTCTCGTCCGGAAAGTGTGTGCCGATCGTGCGCGGCGAGGGCGTCTACCAGGTGCGTGGAAACATTCCACCCCTCCGCCCCCCCCCCCCCCGCCGGTGGGATCGGCGAGGGCGTCTACCAGGTGCGTGGAAACATTCCACCCCTCCGCCCCCCCCCCCCCTCGCCGGTGGGATCGGCGAGGGCGTCTACCAGGTGCGTGGAAACGTTCAACCCCTCCGCCGGTGGGATCGGGGAGTGGCTGGCTGCACAGGGACATGCAAAACTTCGGCAGACAGGGGTTGCTGAATGCATGAAACCTGTGCTGAATGCATGAAAAAATGGAACCGGTGCCGGTACTAGCAGCGGTGCAGCCAGGGCTTTCGTAAGGGAGGAGAAATAGAGGTTTCCCCTAAAGCCCTGCTGGACCCCACCCCTTAAAAAAATCGCTAGAATTGGCTAACTTGATTTCGTGGGAGCCCAATTTGCTTCGTTTTCTTTCCTCTTTGGCCTTTTTAACTAAAACAAAAGTTAAAAGCCACCAGAGCATAAAACATGGTTTGCATTGATGAGTTACCTTAAAGTGAAGGAACCAGTTTTTAAATGGCAGCACCGAATAGACGGACGGTGCCACTCAATTAACAATAATTCGTTTTGACTCTTTGTAAACCATCAGCAGTCGTGGGCGTTGTCGGATTTTTTTATTTTGGATTCTACATACACATTTAGTGGCTCTTCGGGTTAAACGCAGAGCGTGTATCGAAATGAGTCAAACATTTGCACTCAGACGAATTCCGCCGGGGAATGTCCAGCTGTTCCTCACAGTCGATCAGGTAAAGAAATTACAAACAGTGTTGAACGGCACCCTTCGAACTCTAAAAGCACAAACATCGACGCATCATATCTCTGCAGTCTGTACAGACTACGCCGCTTCTGCTGCGCGGTTAACATGAGGCCGCGGCCAACGGGCGGACGAAAATGGCCACATATCGGAGCGAGGTACTTGAATACTTGTTGAACTGATCCATTTTTTAATATTTCACGCATCGTTAAATCAAAAGTAAGTTATGTGCACCATATCATCATTGTAGTTGGTCCGCACCAAAGCCCAAATCATCATCAACAGCATCATTTTGGAATAAATCCTGTTCTATGGGAGGTATTCCTGCCGTATATTTCACCGATTGAATTTTCAGATTGCTCATAGGAACCGATTTACGTACTTTGATAGAAATTTTTCACAAAGCCAAATAACCGATTTCGCGAAAAGGAATGCAGAAAAGTAGTTTTGAGCCGACGCAACCCAGAATGTTTTGTATATTGTTTTACATATTTGCTCCTATGTCATCTGATGATGTTGGCAGGACCAATACAACGTTGCGAAGTAATATGGGCATCCTTACCAGTTTCCGATGATGAAAAAAACGATTAATTTGGACTAACAGAATCTTTATCTAAAAAACGGGTTAAAGCAGTCAGCGAAAAGTGTTGTCAAAGCAAACATCCATTTACGAATTTCTCCGTGCACCCCTGTCGCGTACCCCCTTGACGTGAACTCCGCTCTCAGCGTTTCATGCACTGATATGCCCTTCCCAGCCGTAAATGGACAATTGAGCCGCCACCCCTCGCCGTGTCTGCCGCAGAGGGCGATGGCGTTCCTGCTGGAGCGTCTGCAGCTGGGCGACTGGGTGCACATCTTCCCGGAGGGCCGCATCAACATCGAGCACGCGCACCTGCGCCTCAAGTGGGGCGTGGGCCGGCTGGTGTGCGACTGCTCGCTCTGTCCGCTCGTGCTGCCCTTCTACCACCTGGGCATGGACGCGGCGCTGCCCAACCGGACGCCGTACGTGCCGCGGCCGGGGCAGCGCGTCACAGTGCTGGTCGGCCGGCCGCTGGAGCTGGCCGCCGAGGTGGCGGAGCTGCGGAGGCGGCGCGCCACCGCCCGGGAGGCGCGCCAGACCGTCACTGACCGCATTCAGAGCGAGCTGGAGCGGCTGCGCACGCGCGCCGAGCGGCTGCACGCCGCCCGGCTGGCCAGCTGACCGGCCGACCTGGCCCGACCCGCCCCGACCCACCGGCCAGTCGGGTCAATGTTGCTCCGGCCGGCGGACTCCCGTAGGTCAGAGTTCGTGAGACGCCTCAGCGGTGCTCGGGAGAGGAGGATGTGGAGGACTGGATCGAAATCCGGGCGCGCCGAGCACAACTCGCGAGGTGCGCCATGTTAGAGCACGGTGGTTCTCGCAGTGGTGTACTCCAAGCTGTTCTGGTCGGTCTTTACCTCACGTGATAGCATATAATGGGTTGTTTTATGGCATTGACATGCCATGTTATGGGCAGCAGCCATGTGCAGCCATGCAATGAATTGTATTATTTTACCCCGGAATTATCGAAACTCAGGCCGTGTTTAGGCACGAACACGCTCTTCATTTACATGAATTATGATTGTGTGATATGTGTCGTCCCAAAAATATGTAAATTTCGTTCCTAAGTATTCAAATGTAATTTTTTGCTGTGTTTCAATTAAATTCAAGCCACTTAAGTCAGGGATTACCAGATAAGATGTAATGTTTCCGCCTACGTGAGGGGACGCACACAAACATGTCGGGATAATGCACTACACCGGATGTATTCTGTACAAATATGCCTGTCTTCCGCGGCGTTCTCCCCCTGAGCTTACCGTGACGGGCTAGCAAAACATAGTGTGGACGCCTGTGCAATCGCATTGTCAGTGAGGGTGACAGCGAGCGTGGTCCGACGGCGCGAGCCGGGCTGTGCCCACGGCATGAACGAGCTGCTGGTTGTACGAAACAAACGCACCAGTTTCGGTATGCATGTCGGATCTCTGATACTGTGCGCGTTGTAACGGCGCGGACGAAGCGGTCTGGTGCTAAAATTATATGCTCAGAGTTAATCAATGCTGATGACCAGAAGGCCGTCATCAGCATGTGACGCCTGAGAAACCAACTGATTATGTGAGGGAACGAGCGATGTCCTGGGGGACTGAACTGTTTGTTTGGGGCACAGACTGTTGAGCCAACAAATCAGCGCTGTACTCGGAGTCGCGCAGCTGCCCCGCCCAGTATTGGCGAAACCCCTGCTTGGGTCATCCGCCCTCCCCCCCCCCCCCCCCCCCACAAGCCACAATTATCACGAAACCCCAGCTGTAATGTACTGCCATCTGGATGTGATCCGTGTACGTGATCAAAGGGATGTCGTGCCTAGACTGTCATGTGTTGGGTTCTCAACTGCTCTGTACTGGGTGGTGACATCACTGGTGCCGAGATTTTAATGTGGCGCGGCCGCTAGCCGTAGGGCGTAACGCTGCAGGGCCACCGGAACACCGAAATTTTCGTACGGACAATGGGTGTTAGCGGGAGGTGTGTATGGCAAGCCAATTGCGTAGAATATGATGGCGACTACGGTGGTGTGCTCTGCAAGCCTATGTTGAGAACCATCTAGAATGGAATGGCATGAGAAGTGATAGCATACATGCGAGAATTATACAAGATGGGACGGACGGCACGTTGGGCTCTCTTCGTATTGATTATGAACAAACTGTTGGTGGCGTGCCCGTGTAACCAGCGCGCCAATAGCGTAGAATTTGACGTCGAATATGCTGATGCGCTATGCAAGTTTATATGGGCAACCATTGCAATCAAATCGGCTTGAAAATCAGAAACATCTCCGGAAGAACTGCCGCAGAGATGGGTGGCCCGAACATCACGTTTTGTTGTAAAATACTGCATGGGGATCTACGGACGGTGCTTGCGGTAGGCGACAACCATCGATTCCGCGGGCCGCGCGCGACGGGCCGGCACTCTGGCATGAGCGGAAGGGAGAGAGAGAGAGAGAGAGAGAGAGGAGAGTATGTATATATATATATATATATATATATATATATATATATATATATACTTATTTGTATGACGCATTTGTTACAAATCAAGGGGAAACACTGGCAGTCACTGATATATATTCATATATATATATATATATATATATATATATATATATATATATATATATATATATATATATATATATACATATGTGTGTGTGTGTGTGTGTATTGTCACCACCATCCTGGTTCTCTTGGCTCTCCGCTTTTTACACGCACAATGCTAATAGTCATCTATTGCACGGATTAACACACATGGTTTAGAAGTGACGGGCTCGACGGATGTTGTGGTGAAATGTTACTGATACTTTTAAAGAAATCAGTTACATTGCACTCATTCAAGTACGTTACATTACACATTCATACAAATCTATCGCATAGCACATTTTACATACTGACATATCTAGTGCACCATGCAGCTGCTCATTCTTGACCGCACGTGACAAACGATTTTACTTGGATTTTACTCGCTTGGAAGTTCACATTGCGCCACGACTGAACAGAACACCTCTCACTTGGGAGTAACAATAACTCAGTCACAACGCCGACTAATTCAGTCGCAACAATTATGTATAATCAAAATACATAAAACTGCATACCACTGTACTCAATTTTTAACAAAGAAACGCCAGTTCAAGTTTCGTGTCGCTACAAGACATGATCACGTGGCCATAATCATATGGCCCAAAAATGTTCGATTTTCAGTGCAATTTGATCATAACGTTACGATTATTGCAGATTTCAACGCGTAGCAGGGCTTCAAATCGGTACTTTAGTGTATTGTTCTTGGCGCGAGGGCGTAGACGACGCATTTGTTACAAATCAAGGGGAAACACTTGCAGTCACGCGGAGCTTGTGCGTTCGGTTATGACGGCGAGGGCCTCGTGTGGCGGTAGGGACGCCGTCGGGTGTAGGTCGTCGTGAGTTTAAGGAAGGCATTTGTAACCTGAAACAGAGGTTGGTGAGATGTGTGTTTCCAGCATTTCCTCCAAATTATGATCATGTGTTTGCTGGTTAGCAATGTGTATATAGTTAGAATGGAAAGGTGGGGGGCTGGGTACTCAAAACATGATAGACGTAGGTGGGCCACCGTCACGTCTGATGGCGTTCCATGTGATGACTTTAAATGTTTCATGACATGCTGAGCATATCCAGTATAACAGCTACCTTTTAGAAATAATCTTGAGAAGTGCACACTAAGTCTCAGGTGCTCAGGATGCTCAGGAGTGCTCAGGATTAAGTACGTGGTGTTCAAATCCACCAATTTCAGCACTAGCAGCCAGTGTGTCTAGAAATTATGATGCTGTGAAGGTCACTTGCAGAGAAATGTTCTGGAAACATTTTTCACCCAAAATAATTTAAATTTAAGGGCAGCTAGGCCTAGCCTGAGCTTGGTTTACATAAGTGTGGGGTCCAGCTCACTGATGTCACATAATTGTCTGGTGCAGGGAATGGATTTGTTTGCAGGCTAACCACCACCAAACACACTGGCTTGACAGATATTTGATGTGCAGCCTCCTTTATTTTGTGGGTCAATGATTTCAAAGACACATCATTGTCTGAATAGCTGGCAGCATTTTTCAGCCAAAAATTGAGCAGCTCACAATAACTTGTGGGAGACTCAGTCACACCAAAAGTTTGAGAACTGGGGCCCCATTCTTCAATGGAGATTGGAAGCCCATTCGCTATCTGGAGTAAGTCTGTGTGAAGAGTGATTTAGGTGCCAAGCTTATCTGTGATGCTGCAGGTTACTGATGTTAGTTGTGGGTTTTTCATACACATGGACTCAGAAATGCTAGAATTTGGTTGCATTGCTGAATTTTAAAATTGGTCTACACTACCAATAATATTTTTACCACTCTATGCACCAGTTCTTTTCTAGTTGTTTTCTGGGCTTATATGAGGCATGTTATTAATGCCATTGCCACTTATAAAATATGCAGAGGTGGTTCCAAGTTTGATAAGTTTTTGCACTTTAGTAGAGTCACCCCATTTGACTTCAATGAGCCAAATGACACTGAATTTAATGTGATAGATATGTAAGGAACATATCCAATGAATGCCTGATGTAACATATACTACTGAATGTCATAGGACATATCCTAAAGGAATAGGTGCCATGATGAGGTTTTACCTAACACTTAATTGGCAAGTTCAATTCTAACAGGTATGGATGTTGTTTGATGGCAAGATCATCTCAGGTTTTTAGATGCCTAAAGAGCAATGTTAACTAGTGGTAATATGCCAACGTGCATGATGCAAGCTACCCGAGTAGCCCTGCAAGTGTAAGCAATTGAAGAATGGCATTATAATCCCAAGAATTATTTTTGGGGGTATTCTGCATGGCTATCCTCATGGGCATGGTTTTGATAATAGTGTATAACATTGAATAGCATAGCACAGAAATAGAACCAGTCCATTGGCCAGGAGCAGTTTATCTGTTTGATCCAGTTGGAGTAAAACCATGTGTTGACAAATGTCACACAATATCACCAATTTATGTTGAATCCAGTGATAATAATGAAGAATCTCAGATGTTGGATACCTGTCACTCTCTTCTCTGAATCCTGCACACTTAGCAAATTCATTCCCATTGCTTCAGGACTGTTACTGGTGATGTTGATTTCAAGAGCACAGGTTGTGAATTATCTGTAAACTGCTGTGAATGGGACATCTTCTTGCATCTCGGATACCAACATACACAGTGTTTGGGATTTGCCAGTCATTTTGCTGTGCAGTACATGTTTAAAAAGCAGCTATCAGCCTACATAATCAAAAGCATGTAGCACAGCCCATCTTGCCTGCCCCATGTGGTGTGAGCAGCTGCAGCAATGCCTTTTCAGAACAACACTGCATACCACAAGCTTACCATGGTGCTCTCAGCCGAGCAGAAGATCCTGCTGTATGTGCCGAATCTGATCGGGTATGTGCGCGTGGCATGCCTGGCTGGCGCCTGGCAGTGTCGGCACGACCAGGCGTCGATGCTGGTGCTGCTGTACGCCGCGCAGGCGGTGCTGGACGGCGTGGACGGCTGGGCGGCACGCCGTCTTGGCCAGTGCTCGTCGTTCGGCGCCTGGCTCGACGTGGTGGTGGACAACTTGGGCCGCAGCCTGCTCTGGTCGCTGGTGAGCGAGTGGGGCTGGCTGGTGGCCTCGCTCGAGTGGCTCTGCTTCGCCTGCAACAGCGGCGCCGGCAGCCGCTGGAAGGCTGATATCATAGCGCGCGGTCCGCGCGTCTGCCGCCTGGTCATGGCCGACGGCTTTAAGACGCGCTGGGGCGTGCTGGCCATCAGCGGCCTGCATGTGCTGCCCATCTGGGTGCTGGGCTTGCAGCGTGGGGTGTGGGCCGGCCCGCTGGCCTGGGTACCGCGGCCGCTGGTGCTGGCCGGTCTGGCCGTGCTGGTGGTCGGGCGCCTGCTCTGCGCCTTGGTAGAACTGTGGTGCGTCTGGGCGCACGTGCGCGTCCTGCTGCGCCAAGACGCCGAACCGGTGGCGGAGTGAGTCCTCGGCGTCGCCTCCGTCGACCGTCCGGACGGACGCCGTCGTCGCCTCCGCCGGGACACCGTCCGGACACCGCCGCCGCCTCCGCCGGGACACCGCCCGGACGCCGCCGCCGCCTCCATCGCTTCGAGCCAGATGGCAGCCTGCTTCCTAATGACTGAAGCTCTTGGAAAGGATTACCCTGTGATCTGGTACCTTGCGAGAAAAAGGGTTTTGCTCACTTCAGGGTCTTACAATCATCTGAATGTTGGGTTTTTTTGGGGGGGGAGCATTATCATGTCATGCGTGCTGAGAGGAATAATCTAGAAGTTTGAATATTATAAATGCACGATAATGTGAGTAAGGATTCTGCATATATCTCCGGGAAACCGTACAAACTTTTTTGCGCCTGACTGCACTTTTGTGTGGAAAACGCAGTAAACTGCATAATGCAATAACGCTGTTGCATGGATAAGTTTGATAGCATATGCCACTAGTATTTTCATAGTACAAGAAGCAGTCACTGGTATGTATGGTGGGCTCAATAACTACCACAAGTATGCTTTGCTTTTTGGGAATGAGCGACATTTAGAAATATGTTTCCCTCGGTTAGATCTCCGTTATATCTGTAATTACATGTCATCACTATTCTTTGCTGAATTTCGGGTCCTTATTTGCTTCTTTTTAGGGCTACCCTCACTCCGTAATGCTGGCGTGATCAGAGATTTGCTACAGGATATATCAGTTTGGTGAGTATGGTTAATACCTGGTTTTGTTTTGAGACCGAAAGTTGTTTACAAACGCCCAGGTGAGATAGACCAAGATCGCACGTATTTTGATAGCGGGCCCCTGCATTGCCGCTGCTTAGTTGAAGATGCCACAACTTCTATGAACTTTGACAGGATTCCCTTTTTTCGAAGCTCGAATGCCATCCTAACTATGGGATTCGTGGCTGTGGGTTAACGGGAGGCCGGTCTAGTTTAGCTACGCTAGCTAAGCTAGGCGAAAATATTGCCGGCTTTGACTCACGACAAGCGTTCGAGGTTTACAATCGTAGCGTCAGTGTAGTTGCAGTTCCATGTAGCCGCCTGTGTTGTGTTCTTGTGATGCCAGTACTCATGCTTATTCATTGGCCAGTTGCTGATTGTGCCACGGGGCTGCTCAATCGAGGCTTTATTGGCCAGAGGAATTGCATGAATTCGACGGCCTGCTCCAAGCTCGTGGCTTCTTGGATGGTACCTGTCATGCGTGAGTCAAAACTGATTGGACGTTGCAGCCCAGGAGTGGGGCTGGAGACATCCGCATCACTGTCATCCAAACCAGGAATAAATTGCAGAAATGCAAGACGTCACGGGGTTAGGGGTGGTTGCCACTATTATACTTTTGGGAGCCTTTTACCTGGTCCCTGCCAGTAATTCCAGACTGTCATCACACCCATGGTTGTGCGTCGTAAGAACGTCCCCATGATAAAAAATCGGGTGGAGCCAGCTAACTTTCAATCAGGAAAGAGGGGTCTTAGAATGACCAAAATGTTGTGGAGGTCCCTCTCGTCCCATTCATGTTTGGTGGGTAGCCACGGTTCTTCATGTTGTGGACATTTCCAGTCTTCCACCAACAAATTACTGCCAACCGTTACGTTCCAACGGTGACGGAACGAAGACGGGACGAACGATATGGTGCCTTTAAACCGCGACGCACTGATTCGCGCTATCCTAACCCAGCTATCTTCGATCGCATGGCGCCGCCTCCGATAAGTTCAATCCAAGTAAATTCGAATGAACTTCCTGGTTGCACAACCTGGTTCACGGGTTATATGATATGGTTTACGGGTTATATCACCTGGGTTATGGGTTGTATCACTTGGCTCACGGGTTATATCAGCTGGTTTACTGGTTATGTCAGCTGGTTTATGTACCTTGTGAAGTGCTGTGTAACTTTATTCATGATTGGACGCCAGCGACATTTTAAATTAACTTTAAGTGGTGTGTGTTTTGATGCACAAGCACCAAACATCACCACCGCAACCCATGTTGGCTGTGTCTGGGTGTGTGCTTTTAACTTTAATATGGAGTGCACTAAAGGGCAAAGTGATGCGAGTGTGATACGCATTTTGAGGTTCTGGGTAAGGAGGTTGCTATGCGCCTTCATTGCTTTTGCATTCCGCTGATACGTATTTGATATGTGCGACGCGTAAGAGCCAGTATGCTGCCATAGCCGGGACACAGGGTTTTCCTTCACATCAATGTATGCTGAGTTAGATACCAGGTGTGTCGAGTGTCGTAGCTCGTTTAAGTTATGAGTCCTGAACACGGCAGAATATGTCCCGTCCGCTGATGGAATGTTAATGTGTGGCATATATGCTGCTACTGATGATGACTGTTGATTGTTGGTTGTCTGGGCCAAGGCCGTCCCCAGTAATTGGGACCAAACGATGAATGGTGGGGAGGGGACGCGGTGGAGGGCCAACTGATGATTTGAGTGATCGCATCGCTTAGCATTTTAGCTGTTGCTGTGATGGATAAGTGGGAGCTTCCCGTTGGGGACAGTCGTGTCCCACGCATGATGCGCGCCGTTAGCTATGTTTGCGAGTACTAGTGTTGTGATGAGAGGCTGACATGATGACATCCGGCTAATAAACCGATATAAGCACTGTTTTTGCTCTGGTGTACGCTTAGTTCGACACGTTAAGAAACCATTATAGCTGGTCTCATGAAAAACTTTTTGGAACACAAAATGGCGTGTTTGGATGAACCGCCGCCTGTTAAACTGCATGCACACCAATACACTGTTTTGCCACCTCATTCCAGACAGAACGCCGGAATGCTACCGTAAAAGCCGGATCATGCAGATCCAAGCCCATTTCTAAATGCGGCCATTTCTGATCTCTTTTCAATTTCGCGTTGCGTGTTTAGTTCAAGGGGACAGGAGCCGGGGTTGCGCTAGAAAAAGGCCGTGCCTACCGTCAAAATCCAGGAAAAACGAGCTCTTCAAATTCAACTCACTTTTTTCTCAAACGTGGAGAGCGGGGCTACACGTGCTGGACCTCTCCCTTCCCCGCCCAAACTGAGTCGGAAACCAAAACCCCGAGCAGAGCGTTCGCGGCGGGGCAGTCGCGCGTGCTGTGCGGCCGAGGAAGAGAGTGGTGGAGCGGACCGAGGCGTGGCGGGCGCGACTGCCCAGCGCTCGCCGTGCTGCACTGATGTGGGACGTGTGAAGGCGAGCTGCTCCTACGCACTCCCTGTGGTGAGTCACCACACCACTGGTGATGCAAGCAACCTGCTGCTGGAGTGGAGCGTTTCGTACTCTTTTGAGGGCCCGAATTGTATGTGCCTTAGTGCATGCTTCTGAAATTTAACATTAGGTTCACGGGGATGTGCGCTTGGGACAAGCACACGCCCTGCGGGGTCACGCACAAAGGACCCCGAAAATAGGCTTTGAAGGGAAATAATTGTTTTGGAGCCCACAGCATTACTCCCCGCCTCCAGTTATTCCTGGCGCGTCCCTGGCGAAGCGACGTACCGCATACTAGTGACATCACGCTAACGTCGAGCAAAGGCGACGTGACAATTGCCGGACAGCTTTACCTTTAAATACGACCTTGATGCCGGTAGACGCGCGTCCAGGCAGTCACTTCGGGCTCATTTTGGGCGGTCGTAGGTTATAGGGCGGTGCGATCACTTATTTTTTGGTGAGTTCTGTGAGATGTGCGGGGCGTTTTACGCAAGGCTTACGTGTACCTCAGACTGTTGATTAAGGATTTGGCAAGTACGGTTAACTCCTGAGGGAAATACATCCCGCACACGGAAAGGCTGGTATCCCGTGGTAAGGAGGCCTCTGACTGGAGTGTTACAGTAATACTGGGTGCCAGGGGACCCAGTCTGCAAAAATTTATTCATTTAAGTTTGATCTGCTGCATGGGACCCTTGCACATTCTTTGATTGTAAAATAATTGTCTTCTTTGAGGCAGGAAGTACCAGAAATAAGATGGGCATCTATGATCTTAACTTCAAAGTTAAACTATTATTACAGCGAGCACTCGGGTGGTTCAGAGACACAACACTTTTTACCTGTTTTAGTCCCATGTCATATTTTTATAATATCATGACATCATATTTAGTGGTCATGTTGTCATTTTACTTCTCATTGTCCTTACTTTACTTCCTGCTTGCTTTCTTTTCTTACTTTACATACCTCACCCAATCTCTTTGCAATCTGCCATCCTGTTGACATCTGTTGTGATCAGTGTGCCAGATAGATGTCTGCAGTCACTGACAGCAGGCATCTATCCATATCTACATCTACTACTTTTACATTTGACAGCCTGTCAGTATCATAATTGTTATATGTGGAGGTAAGATGATATGATGTCCCTAAGTATTTCTGTCTTATGATTGTTTAGGACATGTGATGTCTTAGAAATGTCAGCTGATGAACAATTTAATCTTGCAGTGTAAGGTGCCAGTGTGGAACATTGGCATACATATGCCTTATTTCAGCACTTCTAACATTCACATTGAGCTGTGTGGATCAGGCAACCCAGAGAACTGGTTGTTACATGTCTGGATTATTGACAAGGTTCAGAAATGGACCCCTGTCAAGATGGGGTAAGTTAAATTATCTTGTGCTTTTAGTTGAAAGATGGTGCTAACCAAGGAAGTGCTTGAAATATTATTGCTGATGGTTTGTCTGTGGTGCTAACCAAGGAGTGCTTGAAATATTATTGCTGATGGTCTGTCTGTGGTCAGTACAGCATTGCATAGAATGTTGCCATGATGTAAGTGCCTCTAGATGGAACTACTTGATGTGGAGCTGATATCTCAGTCAAAACAGTGTGCCATAATTGTCTTCAAAAGAAAGCCCCTCCTCAAAAATGCAACTTTGTCAAAGTCAGATTTTACATGGTTAACTCATGTTTATGTTTGGGTGATGCTAGCACACAGATTTGCAGTATATCTCACTTTACATTCATCTGCATGGAAGACCAACTGACAACATGTCATCATAGCATCATAGCATCATAGCACTCATCATTTGCCTTAAAAATCCCAATACCAAAGTATTATGCTAAAATTGAGGCTGCCACCTTAAATATTTTTGGTTCTGGTCTGGTGGTAGGTCCTCTGCCTTCTTTCAGAGGCCCTTACAGCAGGCCTCAGGTCAGAACCTTGGGATCAGAGAAATACCCCTTGCCCTGAAAAGGCCTCTCACCAGCTAAGCACCTGAGTCATATCAAATAAAACATCATGACAGATCTTGTTCAAAGGTTTGATTAATTTTGTCATCAAAGTTGTGCCCTGGTTCTCATGTATATTTGTATTTCCTGAGCCTGGTTCCCTTGTCTGCACTTGAACTGGAAAGTAATTGTTTTGTTATATTTAAACACAGGAAGCAAGACTAGAGCTGACAGTGGGCAGAGGGACAGTAATCCACCACTGGTCATGCACTGCAGGAGCTTACTGGCGTCAGCTAGGGCAGGACTATGCCGAAGTGTTCCGGGACACCGCAAAGGATGCCAGGAATCGGCCGGTGAAATCAGCGATCTACGCGCTTGGTGAGATATATTTGGATTGACAAGGATAGGGTTTAGGTTGAGGGGTGCCTCGATTGCTTGCTTTTGCAGCAATGCACTGCTGCCTTTATGTGCATTCCTCAGCAAGCTTGTCTTAGTGAGTTCTGGATAGCCAGCTTTGTCGGCCGGCATTAATCCGGGGTTGGTGCCGCCACGTCGCGCTCCCACTGGCAGCTCTTGACTCTGCCGCCGACTTTCCGGCAGGCACATCTGCACTTGTGTACGGCTGGAACACGAGCCCGGGCGAGCGCCAGTTCTCTGACCAGCTGCTGGCGGCCGACGGCCGGCTGCGGCTGTTGGCGCCGGCCCAGCGCAGTCCGGCCGCTGAGCGTCACGTGCGCCGGCTGCGCCAGCTGCAGGCCGACGGCCGGCTGCGCGCGCAGAACCTGGGCCCGCTCAGCCTGCTCTGGGAGCTCGAGTACCCGGCCGGCACGGCGCTGCACGCTGCCCAGTGCTCGCACCTGCGTCCCAGCTACCTCAGCTTCCACGAGCGCGTGCGCGACGTGGGTGCGGCCGGCCGGTGGTGGGGCCTCTGGCGTCGCATGCGGGACTATGACGTCAATGAGGACGTGTACCAGGATGCTGATGCGGTAAAGGCCTTGGTGGAGACGACCGCTGTCGGCGGCCCCAGCGTGTCATGAGACCACCACGGCGGCGTGCGGCCCGCTGGTATGACCGCCGTGGACTAGATGACGGTGCTTGTTTGCATGCGTCGTACTGAACATGGACGGGTGGGGGCCTGGCCGTGGTCCGGGTCTGTTGTATGCAGGGCTGTTGAGATCGTTTGGGTTGCGAGGGCTCTCCGGCAGCGCTCGCTCGTGACCTTTCCCCGCTGAGTCGCGCACTCTCGGGGAGCAGCACGTCATGCTCGTGCAATACATTTAATGACGGCGCGCAAATAAATGCAGCGTCTGGTGTCCTTGGAAGCATGGCTGTGTGCCGATGGGCGGCATGGCGCAGACGCGTGGTCTTGAGCACGCTTGTCGACTGGCACCAGGCGCCAGAGGCACGGTCAGGGCGGCGGGCGTTGCTGGTCTCGGCGTACTCTGTCCTATCACAGGCGTGGGCATGGCTCAGGGCGCAGCTGCGTCGCAAATGCGCCACTCCAACGGCCTGGTGTATTGGAAGTGTGGCGGTCAGTACCAGCGCGTCCTCGCGTTCACACGCTGGCGCCAGGGCGGTCACCGTAAGAACTCCAGAGCACACGGGCGACCGGACTGCCGCAGACGGGCCGGGCACTCCAGGTGCCGGGCATGACATCGCCAACAGTACAAAAACATCACGTCGTGGGCATGCATGCCACGTGAGTGTCACGACACGCCCTGCGATCACGAGCTGGATCGGCTCCAGCGTCGGGCCGCCGGAACTCCGAGACCGTCTCTGTGCGCCGCCGCGCCGTGCCGGAGTATCACACAGAGGCCCCACAGGAGGAGCTCGAGACTGGACACACAGCGAACACGAGCTTTCCTGGTGCAGCCATCACATAAGCGACCTCGCGCAGGTCTCCAACAGACTCAAGGCGTTGATTGTAGCTGGCCACCTACGACACGTCTAATATCATGTCCGGCATGAGCAAGCGAGATGGTCGTTCAGGCTACACTGCTAAGCGTACGTCCACAGCAATCGCCAGAGATCCATTCGCTAACTTCCATACAGCGTTCATCATGAAGTAATGTCCACCTTCCGGACGCGTACTGAATGCCATCAGCGTCCTCTGGCCCGCGGGTGTCCCGCGCGCCGCGTCACCAGGGCGGGCGGCGCGCTGCCGTGGCGTCGACAGCGCTGGTGCCGCGCGGCCCCACGGGTCGGCGCCATAATGGACGGGTCACGGAAGACGATCGATGGGTCCATCCAAGGCCACACTGGGACGGGCTCAGCAACACACCACAGGCCACGCAAGGCCGGTGGCCGCGCGCCAGTACCCGGGCCGCGCTACGACGGGCAGCTGTGGATCACCGGACCTGGGGCCTGCCTCGGCAGGTCTCCATCACGTGCCGCACGGCGGCCTGAGACATACGGCAACTCCCGCCAGCCTGCGCCAACGCCGCACCGCAGGCTCCATCACACGGACAAGCGTGATACGTCCGGACCTGGGGCCTGCCTCGGCAGGTCTCCATCACGTGCCGCACGGCGGGCTGAGACATACGGCAACTCCCGCCAGCCTGCGCCAACGCCGCATCGCAGGCTCCATCACACGGACAAGCGTGACACGTCCGGACCTAGGGCTTGCTTCGGCAGGTCTCGGTCACGTGCCGCACGACGGGCTGAGACATACGGCAACTCCCGCCAGCCTGCACCAACGTTGCATCGCAGGCTCCATCACACGGACAATCGTGATATCCGAAACGCCCCACGGGCACCACACCGCATCCCAGTCGCATGCAGTGGTACCCCAAACGGGGCAGAGGGAGATCAACTAAGAAGGGTCAAAGACATCGAGCTGAAAAACAGGTATCACAGAAATTGACTAAAGGGTGGTGTCCACAGGGTAGCCTGTGGTCATGCGCCTACAGCTACGCGAAGGAACCAGCCGGGAGGCACAACGCAATATCGCCCATACAGTGCAGGCATGGCTGTGAATTCTAAAATAGTGCAAACAAAAGCGTACGATTTCAATTAAAACAACACGTACGTGCCGGCAGATTTCATAAAAAGTGATATTATACAAGGCGCACTAGCACCCGCTCCACGATCAACGGTAAAAATCCGTAAAAATACGATACAGTGGTACATTCCGCGATGAGCTAACGTCGACTAACTGCGACACAATCGCTCGCTCTGAGAGGCAGTCGGTTAACTACGGCTGATTGGCTACAGCATACAGTACTCGTTCACAAATGACCCGTTCTAAGAGCATGCATATCAAAACGAAAGTCAGGAGCGGGTTTGGAGCCAATGCTGTGGCAGCGTACATTGATGTCGCCAGCCCCGCTACGGCCCCGGGACCGACCGGGCCCCGGGGCCTCGTAGGGGAGCTGTCCTCAGACCGCTGACCAGACTGTCACAGCTAGCGCCGGGACGTCCGGAATCCGGCTATCCGCCGGCGGCTGGCCGGCCGGTGCCTGCAGGACGGCCCTGGCGCTGCACGAAGCGCTGACACCCACGAGAGACGCCTAGCTCCCGGGGAGAGGAAGAGGGCTGCTCTGGCGCCGCGGGGACGGGCCCGGCTCCGTGCGGGTCGCTCCCGCGTCGGCCCCACGCGACACGGGAGCGGCTAGCGCAGCTGGAGCCCGCCCACGGCGCCGCGTAGCTCCGGATCCCAACCGGGGCTGCGCCCGGCTGGGTCCTGCACGCCGTCCGAGAACCGGCGCTGCTGAGCCGACGCGCCGGCCGGGTACCTCTGGTGACCGCCGCCGGGCACCCCTGTCGCGTACCGCTGAGGGTCCAGCGCGGCCGGGTATCGCTCAGGACTGCTGGCCGAGCTGTCCAGGGGTGCTGACGGGCTGAAGTCGTCAGCAGAACTGCTCAGCGAGGTGTCCCGCCACCCGTAAGGCCTGCGGGAGGTCAGAGGGTCAGAGGTTAAAGGTCACCCATCTCAGCCAGCGACTGGCACAGGGTCAGCGGCTCGCTGGCCCAGGGCGAGCTTGGGATGCCGACAGACATACGACTGAAACGCAGACGATTGCCAGGTTCCTGGAAAACGACAGAAAACGCCGCCGCCATGATCGGCAACTCCAACCGCACCAACACCCAGTACTCTCACCAGCGTGTAGCTTTCACTATACGTACTGAAAATCGAACTAGACCCTTTCCCACGACGGGCCTCAACTACGGCGCCCCACAGCCAGCGGCCCGTCGAGCCGGCCACGCCCCGCGTACCGCACGCCGCCGCAGCGGCAGGGTGTGGAGACGGCGGCCGGCCGGCCGTCGGCGTACGGCGGCGGCGGGTCCGCCGGCAGCGAGTCGTCCCGGGCGGCGGACGGCTCCGGCGGCCGCAGCAGCTGACGCACGCGGCTGACGCGCTGCTCCGAGCGCTGCTGACCTGCGGGGCGGACGGGGCGGGTCAGCCCAGCCGCCGACGGCCGGCCGCAGGCTGTCCAGTCACAGCTCACACATTGCCACTCGCGAGCCGACGATGAGTTCAAGGGGACCAGCCAATTGACTCATGTCGCTTTTACAATCCGTGGGCCGAACAGGCTGGGAGTCGTGAGGCCTCAGCAGCATTAGTGTGGGAACCGTGCGCAACGCTTGGTACAGGTAGCCGCTGGTTGATCGCACATTAGTGGTGGCAACTCGATTTGAGCTTATTTCAATCACACATTTTCGACTCCAATCGTCGGGGCTAAAATGTATGACCGTAATCACGCGGGCTACGCATCGTGAGAAATGCCGGAAGCTCCCACGCAATAGTCAACAATATCACATTTAGATATCAGTTTTCCGGTGGAAAATGACCCAGAAGCACCGTTGAGCTCTTCTTTCGCAAACTTCTAGCACTTTGTTTTAAGGCTTTTCACAGGGAATGCACCAGCACTATTTCCGGTAACATGAAAACATGGGCTGAGTAAGGGAATATCCATCAGCTCTAAACGCTTACCGAAAAAGTTTGACTGTACTTTTATTGTAATTTGCACGACCAAAAAATTATGGTTTCAAATTGGAGACTTCTGACTACAATTAAACAAATCACAAAAATGTTGCAGCTTATATTTTCTTCGGATATAATGCTACTTCAAAACTAACAAGTCGTATAATTGTGTTTGCACGTTCCATGGCACAATCAACCTTCGAGACAAACCAACAGGACACCTACTCTAGTAATAGGACTATTCCACGCATCCGACGTCTAAACTGGAAGCGCCGTAAACAAAAAACAATCCAAAGTTCATGGTAACTGAACTTAAGACTCATCGCACATCGCATGTGGAGCAGTTTAGAAAAATTACTGCTAAATCATATCTGGGAAACGCTAGTCACGGTACCCCGGTATCGTGTCACCAGCTGTGTAACGAGCTCCGATGCATCACCGCCATCTGCGACACGCCAGTCACGGTACCCCGGCATCGTGTCACCAGCTGTGTAACGAGCTCCGATGCATCACCGCCATCTGCGACACGCCAGTCACGGTACCCCGGTATCGTGTCACCAGCTGTGTAACGAGCTCCGATGCATGACCGCCATCTGCGACACGCCAGTCACGGTACCCCGGCATCGTGTCACCAGCTGCGTAACAAGCCTCGATGCATCGCCGCCATCTGCGACACGCCAGACACGGTACCCCGGTACCGTGTCACCAGCTGTGTAACAAGCCTCGATGCATCACCGCCATCTGCGACACGCCAGTCACGGTACCCCGGTATCGTGTCACCAGCTGTGTAACGAGCTCCGATGCATCACCGCCATCTGCGACACGCCAGTCACGGTACCCCGGTATCGTGTCACCAGCTGTGTAACAAGCCTCGATGCATGACCGCCATCTACGACACGCCAGACACGGTACCCCGGTACCGTGTCACCAGCTGTGTAACGAGCTCCGATGCATGACGGCCATCTGCGACACGCCAGTCACGGTACCCCGGTACCGTGTCACCAGCTGTGTAACGAGCTCCGATGCATCACCGCCATCTGCGACACGCCAGACGCGGTACCCCGGTACCGTGTCACCAGCTGTGTAACGAGCTCCGATGCATGACCGCCATCTGCGACACGCCAGTCACGGTACCCCGGTACCGTTTCACCAGCTGTGTAACAAGCCTCGATGCATCACCGCCATCTGCGACACGCCAGACACGGTACCCCGGTACCGTGTCACCAGCTGTGTAACGAGCCTCGATGCATGACCGCCATCTACGACACGCCAGTCACGGTACCCCGGTACCGTGTCACCAGCTGTGTAACGAGCTCCGATGCATGACCGCCATCTGCGACACGCCAGTCACGGCACCCCGGTACCGTGTCACCAGCTGTGTAACGAGCTCCGATGCATGACCGCCATCTACGACACGCCAGTCACGGTACCCCGGTATCGTGTCATCAGCTGTGTAACGAGCCTCGATGCATGACCGCCATCTACGACACGCCAGTCACGGTACCCCGGTACCGTGTCACCAGCTGTGTAACGAGCTCCGATGCATGACCGCCATCTGCGACACGCCAGTCACGGTACCCCGGTACCGTGTCACCAGCTGTGTAACAAGCCTCGATGCATCACCGCCATCTACGACACGCCAGTCACGGTACCCCGGTACCGTGTCACCAGCTGTGTAACGAGCCTCGATGCATGACCGCCATCTACGACACGCCAGTCACGGTACCCCGGTACCGTGTCACCAGCTGTGTAACGAGCTCCGATGCATCACCGCCATCTGCGACACGCCAGTCACGGTACCCCGGTACCGTGTCACCAGCTGTGTAACGAGCCTCGATGCATGACCGCCATCTGCGACACGCCAGACACGGTACCCCGGTACCGTGTCACCAGCTGTGTAACGAGCTCCGATGCATGACCGCCATCTGCGACACGCCAGTCACGGTACCCCGGTATCGTGTCACCAGCTGTGTAACGAGCCTCGATGCATGGCCGCCATCTGCGACACGCCAGACACGGTACCCCAGTACCGTGTCACCAGCTGTGTAACAAGCCTCGATGCATGACCGCCATCTGCGACACGCCAGTCACGGTACCCCGGTACCGTGTCACCAGCTGTGTAACGAGCTCCGATGCATGACCGCCATCTGCGACACGCCAGTCACGGTATCCCGGTACCGTGTCACCAGCTGTGTAACGAGCTCCGATGCATGACCGCCATCTGCGACACGCCAGACACGGTACCCCGGTACCGTGTCACCAGCTGCGTAACGAGCTCCGATGCATGACCGCCATCTGCGACACGCCAGTCACGGTATCCCGGTACCGTGTCACCAGCTGTGTAACGAGCTCCGATGCATGACCGCCATCTGCGACACGCCAGACACGGTACCCCGGTACCGTGTCACCAGCTGTGTAACAAGCCTCGATGCATGACCGCCATCTGCGACACGCCAGACACGGTACCCCGGTACCGTGTCACCAGCTGTGTAACAAGCCTCGATGCATCACGGCCCTTGCCGTCTGATCATGTGATATCTCTGTCTGTGCTGGAAGATAAAAGATGGCCTCCCCGACCGATGTGCTAACGAAAACACGCCACAGATATCGTGTTATGAGCGGAGCGGTAGCCAACACCGAACCACTGAATGAGGTCGCTGACGTTCCGGCGCTTTGAAATGCCGTGTGATACAGAAACCTCCGGGCCAAATTACCACCAGACTAACCCCTGCAGAGGCGCTGCAGAAGCAAGCGCCCTGTTTGACAGAACAAAGGTGTGTGACTGGAGACCACCGTCCATGAAACAGAAGCCAAGGCCTCGGGTGGGTACGAGAAAACGGGGCATTTGCCGGGTGATATATGAACATTATTTGAATAACAAAAGTATAGATATCCGATCCGGGCTCCCGGGTCTAAAATCCACGTTTTCATCCACACACCCCAGACGTAAAAATAAGTACACTGAAAGCCAAGCTACCGTGGACTGTCATCTTTCATCTACACCGCAAGTCATCACCGATAGCACAAAGCCCAAACCGTATTGCACGTAGATTCCAAAACAATGGGCATCCCAGAGCTACTATCAATCTTAGTTAAGCAATCGGCAACCAGCCCCATCGACATCATCCATCACAAAGAAAACGTACACACTACCCTACATCGACGCTGTATTATACGCCGCAAGGTAGAAAAATCCGTAAAAAATAGTAAGATGTAATGCAAGGTGACCTGAACTAATTACGGCTACCTGATACAAGTGATGACCGCATGCGCGTACCGCATGCCTCCAAATATGATACTGCTTACTTCACCAATAATGTAGTTTACAATGTCACATGCACTATATGTGCGACTTTCTACAGAGAAGAAGCATAGGGGCCAATGGGTCAACCTGTTAAAATGTCTTAGCAGAATAATTTCCACATTCAATATATCCCTCGCTCCTGATTCTTGCTTGCTTTGAATAAATGTTGCGGCTGACCATTAAATATAGGTTACAAAACACCAACTCAGTGGAAGAGGACGTCACGTGTGCCGAAGCATAGTGACTTGAGACATATTGTACTGTGTTCGAAGCTGAGACCGAAGGCATGATTGCACCGTTTAGATACAAAGAGGTACACAAAGAACTAGACAAAAGTTTAGGACAAAAGAGTACACAAAGAGGCCCTCAAACAAAAGTGATGCGCGCCAACATGCGCAGGCCAACATGCCCCACGTGGAGATCCGATCCCATCTCCCCCATGGAACGCCTGTTGGCGCGTCCGGCGTGCCGTACCGGTGTACTTGGCAGTGTGCAGCTGGTTGACGTCGAGGTCGGGCAGTTCGCTGACGATCTCACGGTGCGCCTGGAACACCAGCTGCGTCTTGTGCGCCAGCTCCAGGCAGGCGTCCGAGAGGGTCAGCAAGCCCTGCTTCAGACGCGTCGTCTTGGCCACCTCGTGCTCACGCGCGCGCTCCGTCACTGGCGATGGCCGACGGCAGCGTCAGAACGGCACACCACCTGTCTCAGGGTGACAGCGCGGACAAGAGACGAGCGGCGATGTAGAGACGCTGCAGGTCTAGCCACGGCTCACCGGCAACCAAAGCGGCGGCAATCCAACGGCAAAAACTACTAAGCGGCAACCAAATCCAAATCATTCTCCAACAGCGACATGTGGATATGTATGGTTTTGCCTGTCTGTGCATGGTTAACATTGCAGCCCGACCGGCCTGAAACGTTTGCCCCTCCCGTCCTCCGCCCCCGCCCGCCGGTTACGAGCTCCCAGAACCCGTACCCTCCAGCAGCGCCGCCTCCTTAGCGCGCTCCGACCCAGTCAGCTTGGCCTCGGCCTGCTGCCGGTCCTGCTGCGAGGCCTTCTTCAGCTCGCGCCGGTGCTTGCTCTCCTTGGTCTCGCAGGAGACCAGCTGCGAGCGGCAGGTGTCCAGCTGCTCCTCACCCTCCAGAATCATCTCGAACTGATAGCGCAGCACCTTGAGCTGAGCTGCGGCAACGGCAGGACGTCGGCGGGAGCAGCCACGGCAGGACGTCAGGGGGAGCGGCCACGGCAGGACGTCAGCAGGAGCAGCCACGGCAGGACGTCAGCAGGAGCAGCCACGGCAGGACGTCGGCGGGAGCGGCCACGGCAGGACGTCGGCGGGAGCGGCCACGGCAGGACGTCAGGGGGAGCGGCCACGGCAGGACGTCAGCAGGAGCAGCCACGGCAGGACGTCAGCAGGAGCGGCCACGGCAGGACGTCAGCGGGAGCGGCCACGGCAGGACGTCGGTGGGAGCGGCTTTGGCACGTCAGCGGGAGCGGCCACGGCAGGACGTCGGTGGGAGCGGCTTTGGCACGTCAGCAGGAGCGGCCACGGCAGGACGTCAGCGGGAGCGGCTACGGCAGGACGTCAGCGGGAGCGGCTGTGGCACGTCAGCGGGAGCGGCCACGGCAGGACGTCACCAGGAGCGGCCACGGCAGGACGTCAGCAGGAGCGGCCACCGCAGGACGTCAGCAGGAGCGGCCACCCAGGGCCTTCAGTCATGATCACGCGACTGTGTGGGTGACGCCTGGCCACCATGTAGTCGGAGGTGATCCGACAGGGAGGCGAGAAGCAGACTGCTGCACAACTGGGACTGTGGCACAATCACTTTATTTATGGGCTTATGATGAGCTGGATCAAAGCTGCACACCAGGAAACATATTAACCTGATGTGCATGCATCACAAACACATGTCTTGGTCTGGCTGCAGTTGTGCATGCAAATCTTGGCCTGGCTGCAGTTGTGCAGGCATGTCTTGGCCTGCGCAACTGCAGACCATGTTTGCGCTTCACTCCCGATATAGTTGGAATTGATCGTAAAATCAGCCGAATGTTAACAGAGTCAGGGTCGGATCGATTTTTTTCGATTTTCTCGTGAGTGAGAATTAAGTGAGAGTTGATTCAACAAAACCTTAGTGAGTTGGCTCAAAAACGAATGAAAGCATGTGTAGGTGTAGCATATATGTAGCATATATGTGCAAGCATGCAAAGTTGTAAGTACACTAGTTTATATCTGCACCAAATGGAATTCAGCCATTTATAATTTTGTTATTATAACTGAAAAAATGAGCATAAGCCTGCTGCATTTGTTGCATATCATCCAACCCCCACTGCTGTCATGGCCTGATGTTTACTTCAAAGGCCTAGACATTGTACGTCATGATGAAACACCCACGCAATTCGAACTGAGTGCTCTGCGGTCCTGCTCTAGATGCTGTACCATTGAATTCGTTCTGGACGTCGGCGTAGACGGCGGTGAGCTCCGCCAGCAGCTGGACCGTCTGCTGGATGGCGCGGTTCTCGTCGCGCAAAGACCACTTGACCATGTCCTGCGCGACGCGTGCCTGCGCCGACACCAGGCCGCGGTGGGCGGCACGCGCCATGCGCAGCTCGGAGATCAGCATCTCCAGCTCGGCGTGCCGGCTGCTGATGGTGCGCAGCCGCACGCCACTCCTGCGCCACACCGGCAATGTCAGCATGCATCACACCCTCATGGGCTAGCCTGCATACCTGAGGAAGGCCAGTGTGCACTACACACATGCTTGTCACATGTGATGTCCTGAGCATCTGGAGCATAATGGATCATCACATGGTGTGGGCCTAAGGCATATTAAGGCTGGCTGCAGTGGTGGTCCTCTGGTCATTCCTGAGTATTTTATGCTTGAGGTACAAAAACAGTTGCTGACCAACACAAACAGTAGTTGAATTTGTGGCTGCCATCGACAAGATCGAGATGGCCTGATGACTATGTGCTTGGGGGAGGGGGTCAAGTTGAACCCATCTGAAGGTTTTTTAAAACAATTTCAGAAAATTGCTGCATAGCCATGCAAAACTCTGCATAGCTGTAGGCAATGTGGTAGCAGATCTTTAGATATAACCAATTTGATGTGCATTGTGCTGTTGTTGACCTATAGCAGGTCAGAGTTAGGCTGTGGCTGTAGGCCAATGTCTTTTAAGGAATTGTTCAATCTGATGTAACAACAGAGTGTTAGACAAAGCCATACAGCTCTGGCATAGTTTCTCAGACAGCAATACAATCAAATTTAGGATAAGGATCAATTTTATGGGTCTGGGATGAGGCATAAAGGTCAGGCCATGGTCTGACAAAATCCACTTCTGTTTTTACTCCAGACCTTGCTGAATGAGGTGGTTTCTGGTGCTCATTTTCAATTTAATAATAAGGCTTTGATTGAATTCAAGTTACATAGCCACTGAGACCTTGCAATGCTGTATATTTACAATGGCATACAGCAATGCCTAAGGCATTTTATGTCTCAACTTGCCTACCATTGTAATCAGCAAACAGAGTTAGGAGTACTTTGCACATGCCTATAATTCCTGGAAATAAAATCATTAACTAGCACAGAACCCAAACCAAGGTGCTGCTTCCAAAAACCCTCACTGAATGATTGATAGCTTTACAAGACTTGATTATGTATGCAGAAAATATGCAAGCAATGTTGGTTCAGCCATGCACATAATAGTGCATGCATAAAACAGAGTGCAGACCAAAAAAATCCAAAACCACAGCTAGCACTTTAAAAATTCATTGAGTCAAGCAAAAAATTTACTTTTTGATGCCCTTATTTCTATGCCTAACATTAATATCTGAAGCAATTGCAGGGAAATGATCCCAGTAAAATCATGCAAAATGATAAGGCTATCAAGTTAAGCTATAAAATAACATGTAAACATGGCTAAGCCCAGAGTCAGAGAATACATTGTGTTGTCAGGCCTCTGATCTGGACACTTCTCTGTTGCTCATGCCAATATAAAGGATGTGTGAGAGCCCAAGGGGACAGTGGCAGTCATCCACCAAAATCGAGACAGTTGATAGCAATTACAGAGCATGACAAAGATACTTGGAATTATTTCAACAAATGTCAATCAACACAAGTTTGCTGACAGTGGCACTTTCCTTTCTTTTACATATGCATGCAGAGTTACCTATCAAGCCATTGATCCACTACAGGAATGTACATGAGTAACTAACCTTCTTATAACCTTGCTGGCCTTATCCATTATGCTAAGCAATCTTTCACGGCAGGCGTTCTTGATCAAGCTTGTGAAACTAGTCAGATGAGGCTATCCATTTGTTTGTTCTTCAGCAAAGCATATTTGATGGCATTTCCACTGACTCAGTCCAGGCACAGATCTGCCAGCAATCAGCGTATGAAATCAGGTATGACTTATCCATGAAAGTCACACGCGGGTTCGCAATACCTATGCAAATCAGATGATAGCACCAGCCGTTCCACCTTGCTGAACAAAGCGGCGTTCACCGAACAAACGCCATGCAGTTGGACTTCGATGCAACAATAATTGTGAGGGAATTGGTCTGGGAATCGAAATTCACCTGCTTCCTTAAAGAAGCCGGCCCGGACCTTTGTTTCACGCAGCACAACTGAGGACTAGCGCCGGCACCCACGCATTCCAACCACCCCGCCGTGTACGGGGACGGGTATGCCCCTTTGTTTACTTTCTGGCGGGTGGCTCGAAAGGTATTCGGGACAATCTGATTGTAACTTTAAAGACGATATTTTAACTATACTATTTACAGAGCCAGTTCTTCTTTTATGCGCATACTCTGCACGCTTGCTGGTCGGTTTTGATTATTTACTCACATAAACTGACAGAAATACATTGGCCACACTTGAAAACGCCCATAACGATCACCAATTGACTTTCAAGCAACAGTTGACAAATAACCAAAAGGGTCTTTTTTTGGTAAACTAATAAAATGAATCCAATAGTGCTGTGGCGGCAATCGGCCAGAGCTCTACATACCATTATTCTCGCTGGCAACGCAGAATTGTCGTAGCATAAGGGTGGGTGTCGCGTGAAGGGCTCTGCAGGTAAAGTTACCCTCATAGCCTTTTTCATAATTGTTACTGAAACATGAATTATAAATATTTTATACAGGTAGTTTTAACTGATTTATCCCGTGGTTTGCATTTTGCCGCCTATGCAAGCACTGACGTTCTGCGCTCATGTCTCATTACTATTTCTTCTTTCTGGCTCATATTTGCGCGACAGCGACGAGAAATTTCCGTTGTTCCAGGCGGCCCCACAGCTAGGGTCCCCCCCGTAGGCCAGGCTGGTTGGTCGTGGTTGGGCCTGCAGCGTCTCTGGTTGTTAGTGCGGTCCTGCTGAGATAAGCCTATCACCAATATCATCGAGAAGTCGCTGTCATCTTAAAAATGTCCGCGATTAAAACGTTATACAACAACTTGTTCCGGAGAACATCCACCTTTGCCCTGGGAGTCATCGCAGCTGCATTCTTCTTCGAGAGAGGACTGGATACTGCTGCTGATCAAATCTTCGAATCACATAATAGAGGAGTAAGTATTTTTTCTGTTCAACTACAGCACTTCTTGTGGATTTGATTATGACAAGGTATGTTATGTGATAAATTGGGGCTTGTTTACAGCAGCAGCTCAGACTGCAAAAAATATAGGTTACAGTGGGCATGTCCTGCTTAGCAGCAACATCACTGCAACAATTTCATGGCATGTATTCACAAATCTGAGCCTTCATGGTTTGGTACATAGTCACCACAAATTCAGTACATGGAGAGCAGGTGTTTCAGTTGTGAATGGTGATGTTAAGGTGGCCCCAGGCAAGAAAATGAAGCATTTGTCACACAATAAATCTAAAAATTTAACATGATGCGGTCAGATTTGATTTTTGTGCACACAAGCATGATATTCAGCAAATCAATGCCATGTATGGCTCTGGCACAGCTGATAAAGTTCTTGCAGGCTGGGCTCTACCTAGGGGTACCTGGGGCAAAAAAGAATATTACTCCAGTTTTGGTGTGTGGTTGTCACCAATTTTGGTGCACAGAGAGCCAGGGTTTCAAGGAAGAGGCCTCCAAGAATCTCCTCATGGTCTAATTTGCATCTACTGACTATGGGTTACCTTTATTATTGTGTTCAAAAGGGTTTACCTGCCACTGAGCTGAATTTACCACTCAACATTTGACTTTTTCCTGAACATTGCAAAACAAGTTTCTGTAGGTTAAAAATATATTCAACATGTTTTGATGTAAATGATGAAAGCTCATGGCCTCAGCTACCTTAGCAGCTGTTGTCTGACATGAGGTTGTTTGCAGCTGATTTACTTTTCAGTAAAAGCTGCAGAAGCTGGTGTGAGTTAAAACTGATGTGCTCAGGCAATATTTTAAAAAAATCCTAGCTCCTTGACTTTATTGGTGGATCCCTGACTATAAGCTTGTGTCTGTGTGTGTGTGCATGCATGTGTGCATATGATATAAACATTTTCTCTGCCATAACACATGTGCACACACACATGCATGCATGCACACACGCATGCACGCACGCACACACGCACGCATGCATGCGCGTGCACACAGTCAGCCCTGGGGCTGGGCGATTGCTTTTGCCCTCAGTGAGCTTTCGCCCTCGGCGAATTTTAGTTCTGGCGCAGGCGGGAGCATTGGTGCTATTACAAATACAGGCCCCTAGGCCGTGAGCTCAATTGACTCCGGTACCGCTCACACCTGCGCAGTTGGTTTACGCCCGCCAGCGGACATACCGGGGAGCCACCAGAGAGCACATATGTTTCATCCTGGACTGGCCAGGATAAAATGTGACGAACGACGGGCAGAGCTTGCGGGTTGTTAGCAAAGCAGCCGATATCGGCGATGGTGTGTGTGTGTGTGTGCGTGCGTGCGTGCGTGCGTGCGTGCGTGCGTGCGTGCGTGTGTTGCATTCAGTATCAAATTTCATAAAAGACAGCAATAAAGACAACCATGCTATGGTTGAAACAAATATGGCACATTTGGTCTTTGGACTGCCCCTGCCTTTGTGACTTCACAGCTTTCTGATTTTTCACACATTGGTTCTTGTTTGTACTGTGGCATATTTTGTGGTACTGTGCAACTTCTGCCTCAGTTCAGTACCTGCTCAAAAATACCAGGAGCTGCCCCAAATTTTATTAAACTTGCCCATGAATATCTTTTCAAAATCTGTCATGTATTGTAGACTGGCCATTGACATTACAGACCACAGACATGAATTCACCTGACCCATCTGCAAATTCTTGTTGCCCAGATGAAGACTATTTGTTTTTGCATCCAGATCAAAGATTACAACAAAAACATTTAAAATAAGCTGGGATATATGATGAAGTTTTCATTAGGTGATAGGACTACAAAAGCTATAAACTGAGGGATATACCTGGTTGGTGAGGAAATTTCACTAAGCTCATGGGCATTAGCCCCCACACTTAACCTTTTAAGAAAGGCCTTTCCTGTGCCTGGGTGTGCTCACACAAGACAATGTAGCAGAGTCAATCTGAAGACCAAAAATTTAAGAAATAGATGCTGGTGCTGGCATATCCACGGACTGGGATATTCTAATAAGTTGGGAGTTTCTGGCTGTCATGCTTTGGATAGTCATTGAGCACTGCTTCATTTCAGGTGCTGGGAGTTGCAAAAACAATCTTACCACTCACATGATAACCACCAATATGTACCAAGATGATGTATAGTGCAAGTCCTTTTAAGCTGGATGTTGCATTGTATACATTTAGGTCATGTGGTCAACAGTATGGCATATGTGATACATGACTGAATACTGTCAGCAATAATTAAAATGCTTTTGAAGCATGTTGATAGAGCCTAATTTGGCATTGTTGACTTCTTGCCCATGGCCACACACACACACAAACATACCATGGTGTTCATGGTATGTTTGATTTTGTTACAAGCATGTACAGTCAGACCAGTTTATGTGCTCTTATCTGACCTTAAAAATATATGTATGTGTGTGATACCGAGCTGATAATTGTTCTTTTGCAAGCTCAAAGGGGTGTTATAATGAAATGGATATATGTGATGAGTTATGCTGGAAATCACTAGATCATGATGCATCAATGTATAATGTCATCTGGCTTTGTTTTCATGGTTTTATATAGATAATGGTCCAGATGGTGTGGCGTTACCATTTGTCTGGCAAGATGAAAACTAGACATTCAGCACTGGATTGCACATGATTACACAGTCAGCAATGGGCCCTGTTACTTGGCACTCACATGGCGCAACCTAGAGCGGAGTGTAAGGAGAGGCAAAAATCAGAGAAAGAAAGACAGTCTGATTTGGAAAATGCCCAAGGCTCTGAAACGTGATCTGCTCTGGCACATATGTAATATGTTGGCATTCTGAATCAGATTTGCACCACAGCGGCCATAAAATTACCCAAAGTGTAAAATAGTTACAAAAGCAGTCAGGTTAAACACATGCAAAAGGTTTGTCAAAAGAGTAAATATGTTTTTTTCCCTGGATGAATGACGTGTTGTGAATAGCGCATCCACCATTCGCGTACAACCCTTATTCACTGTCTTGTGCTCCGAAGGCTCCCGACTTGAATCAGATATGGTCCCTGATGTGCTGTGACTATCTCAGTATTGTCTATGACATGGTAATCGTGGCACGGTGTCGCCGTAATAGAGGGGACATTTGTCTCACTTGCTCAATACTGGTTATTCGTTCGCTGGTCTCAGAATGATTTCAAAGCTTCCGTAATTCTGAAGTTGGAAAGTGTGGTGTTTACGCATTAAATGCGAAGGTATACATATATAAGCATCGAGAAGTGTTTGCACGCATACTAGAAGTTGGAGATTTATTCAATGTCTTACCGTGTGTGCCTTTGTTTCAGAAACTCTGGGAGCACATCCAGCATAAGTACGTCAAAAAGGATGAAGAAGAGTGACTGCAACACGGATGTTCGTTTGTTTCCAACACCTAGAATGATTGTAAATATATGTGAAATGTAGCTGGCTTTACGACGGTATCACGCGGTGTGGTGAAGTGAATGGCAGGGTGTGGAAAGGTTGCTTATAAGAACTGTGAGCGATGGTCTGCGCACTAAGTTACCTGCTATCGCTTCCTTCTGATTACTGTCACACCATTGCCCGTTCTTGGTTCACATATCCATATGTTGTCGTTTTTCCGTAACGTCCAACCATATTTGTCTCTAATTTTGTAATGGATTCCCCTTATTAGCACACGAGCATCCTGTTTGACGAATTGCTTATGTGCAAGCATGCGCTGCTGTCTTCAAGGCGAACGGTGATGGTGACACCACCACATGGCATTTGATCGTCGATGTAAGCCACGCTTTCTGTGCCTATTATGCTCCAAGAAACACGCTGCCCCTCGTCGCCACACTAAAACATCTCGAACAACACTTCATCAGGTAGTTCGCAGCAACTCGGGCCTGCCCCACTCGCACCGAATTCCTAGACATTAACTTTTGATTATGAGGACTACTGTAAGTGCCCTGCCTCACGTCTGACCCTCCCGACGAGCTGCGGTCCCGTGCAGGAACTAGCGTGGCTGCAGATGTCGCCTGTTGTGGCGGCGGTTCTCTGTCTCCCGGGCCGGATCACTGGTTGTGAGCACCCTCGTACGCTACTCCAAAAGTGAGTCCGGAGGGGTTCAGGGGGTTTGGAAGAGACGGAGCCCAATGAACCGTGTCGCTGCGCAGCCAGCTGTAATCTGTCGTCCATTTTCTCGTCACGTGACAGTTGTGCTACATATTTTGTCAGGTGGCTCCCGCAATCTGAAAGGATTTGATCACGTGATTTGATGCGCTCGTGACTGCCGTGGCGTAAGAAACATGCACTGCCTCGAACCCAGGCTGTCATATTTTGGTGCTCGTCTCTTCAAAGAACTTTCTTGGTTTGAAACGAGGCGCGGTGATGATATCGGTATAATTCAAAAACAGGCCAGCTGGGTGAAAGTGAACGGTAACAAACACATTACACAGTGAGGCACATAATCCAACCCCGAAGCGATCTCATAGTACAAGAAGGGCGGTTCAACGGCGGGCAGGACGAACTTGTTCCTCCAGAGACTGGAAAACGCACTATCTGTGTTAGGTTTAGAGCAATTACCACCAAACTAGAACTTACTCTCCCACTCAAAAAGGATATGACCATACCACAAGTCCGATCATGTACCTGCCCCTGCAGGATATTGGTCTGAGGTCGGTGACATTGACCCGGAAGATCACGCCCTGGCCACGTCACAGCGTGGCCAGAACCCGCAGGTTGAAAGCGAGCCTCAGCGGCCGGGCCGAAGTTGGAAGCGATGTCTCAGCAGAATCCGCAGGCCTTGCGGCAGTGGGTGACCATGTAGTCGGGGTTGACCTTGCACTCGCCCGAGCCGGCCCACGACTGACAGAAAGGACTGACGTCAGTGCACGCGCCGCCGCGGCCGTGCGACGCCTCGGGACACAGGCCGCACGACTTCCTGCAGTAGAGCGTCATGTACGAGGCGTTGGCGGCGCACTCGCCCCGCCCCGCCCAGTCCGAGCAGTACTCGTTGTGGTCGCGACACACGCCGTCGGGGCACGTGTCGCACGAGCGCGCGCAGTGCATCTCCATATATAACGGGTTCTTGGCGCACTCGCCGCTGCTGGCCCAGTCTTTGCAGTACGCGTTGCCGTCCTTGCACTCAACCTTGCCGACGACGGGCGTTGGCGGCGCCGTGACGCCGTGGCACTCGTACAGCTTGTTCAGCTTGCTGATGTCGATGCGAGAGAGGCCGCTGCGCTGGCCCATGTTGGCGCCCTCGCCCAACCGCTTCGCGCTGATTGTCGGCTTCCTCCGGTTGGTAGCGAACGCTTTCGGCCCGTAGTGCATGATGGAGCCGATGTCGTACGGCTCACTGAGGTTCTGCACATGGTCCCAGGTAAACTTGTTGAAGTTGTACTGCTTGGTGACGGGGATGTTGTCCCAATGGATGGTGATGTACTGGTCGCGGTCGGGCCGACTCTGCTCGTGCCAGAAGCCAGCAGCGTGCATGAACTCGTGCATCACAATGCCCGGGTACACGCAGCCGGAGCCGAGCGACAACTGCTGGCTGCCTCCCATGCTCACCTTGCGGCCCACCGAGCTGAAGCAGCCGTCGCCCTTGACGATGTGCACGTAGCCCTGGTGTGTGCCGGCGCCCGGCCCCAGCGGCCGCACGCGGATGCACGTGTTGCGCTCGAATTGCAGCACGGCGCCGGCGATGACGGCGCGCTCGTCGCTGGTGAAGCCGGACGCGATGACGTACGGGATCTCGCCGCGCGGCCACTTCTCGTCGGGCAGGTTGATGGCGTTGCGCGGGTGCTCGTCCGGCGCGCCCACGATGTCGCCCTGGAACATGTCGGCCATCTCGATCGGGTCCTCGGAGCTGGCTGGCGGCGTCATCGGCAGCGCCGTTTCCAGCTTCAGCGCCTTGGCGAAGTCCTCCGGGTTGAGCGGCTCGCCAAACTCGTCCCGATTGGCCGGGTCGTCCACCGCGCCCCGCCGCGCTACGGTGCTGATGCTATTCAGACCGAGACGTTTTTTAATCGCCGACTCCGCTACCCCTGGGTGTAGGCGGCTGCGACCGCGCTCCATGGTCTTCTTGTCGAACCTCGACATTCCTCCGTTACCCCACTTCTTCTCAAACCCTGATCCGCCATCTCCATCCGACCCGCCGCTGACCGATTTAAACGAAGTCTTGAATAAGGTATCCACGTGAGAGGTGTCCTCTCCCGCTGCCGCTCTGGTCGCCTCGGCACGTTTCCGGTGGTAACCCGTCGACCCCCGCAGTTCGTCCAGGAGCTGGTCGATGCGCCAGTCGCCCTGCGCTGGAGCCTCTGGGCTGCCGGTGGGCACGTCACGCTCCGGCAGCCCCAGCAGCAGCCGCAGTTGAGCTAGCGACGCCTCCACCGGGCGGGACGCGCGGCCGGCGGCGGCTCCCAGCGCCAGCGCCAGCGCCAGCCACCGCACCAGGGAGTGTCGCGGCGCCATCCTTCCGACCGAGTGCCTCGCAGCGACGTGTATTTAAGGCACGCTGCCGCCGGCATGCCCGCGGGGCCATACGGGTCGCCGCCGCCCATGGAGGTGCTTACACCTGTATCGCTGCGCACATCTGTGTCGCGCGTTGCAGAAGCGATGCACGGTGCAGGAGCCTCGGGCCGCGGGGAGGGGACTGGTTCCTGGTTCGACGCCCGGGCTGTCCGTGCTCCCATTCGACGTGGAAGCTAGCGCAAAGCTCGTACCAACTCATGGTGTCCGCATCGCATAGACGTTTGAACATCGATTGGTTATCCGCTTGCCCCAGTTCCTTTTTCACTAACCCTTTGGCGGTAGATGGAAATAAACGAGGTAAAATAACGTTTGCGCTCGCTCATTGCCTGCTCGCATGACATGAATCCGTGGCCACAAAGATTCATCACTAAAGAAACGACGAATTAAATGATATTAAAGAAACGTAAGTTGTTCAGTGCGTTTGTGAGGGTGCAGCAACCCCATTCCCCCAGTCTTTGGATGGATCAGCGCTGAACCCTCATGAATCCATGCGCCATAATCAACAACCTGCGCATTCCAAAACATGATCGGATCAGATCCAAAGTCACCAAAAACCGGCCCCAAACCGTCAAAATCGGCTGCAGACAGCTCCATTTTATATTGGTAGCTGACAGTCTTGTAGCAATGCTATCGAATGCACTCGATCACACTCTACGCATGCGATCATTAGAGCCTTTTCCGGGCCGCCATGATGCGGCCATCAGACTGCAAGCAGGCCTGCCGCGCCTGGTAATGTGTCTAAAAGGGATATAAGCCAAAAAAAGTGAACGTCGGCGGCTAAGCGATTCATATTTTCGGACGATAATGCTGCTCCCACAGTGACGCCCTGTGCACCTGGCTGCGCCCGTCGCGCATGAACGAAATATGTTTTTATTGGACGCCGCCACTTTGCAAATGGCCGCTATGGACGTCCTTTCAACACTGACTGAGACACTGTCCAGAGGTCGACAGAATAAAACGGATTAACTAATCGGACTAGTGCCCTGTACTGACAGCGGGGACGTTCCACGGCAGATCGACAAGTGCCTTACACCCTCATCCCTCGGATTGTGATTTAAGTGAGTCATAGGGGTTGCCATCAGCGCTGAAGTCACTGGTGACATTTTACATCTCTGAGTCGCACCACTTCGGAGTCATAGTCTTTGACAATATCGAATTGCGTGGTTGCAAGGGTAGCTTCGGTGGCAATTTTTTCCTTTTGCTTGAAAGATAATTTGGCAAACCCATACGTTAAAATGATCAGAAAACTATCCTAAATATCTTATGCCAATCTTGAAATCGCCATTGGAAAATCAATGATAACCAGGGCATCATGAACTTTTGCAAGGTATGAAGAACAATTATCACATATCGCATATAACATATAAATGTGATATTGATATTTTTGGCATCGGCATATAAAAGGGTGTAGCATATTCCTCAATATCCCAAAATAAAAGGGTGGTTATCTGCCTGGAAACGCATGGTTCATGCACCGACGAATCATGTGTAGCGCACGAAGACTGGGCGCGCACCGTGCCGCCGCGGCCGGTTGCCCCCCCCCCCCCCCTTACCCTCATGTGTACTGTCGGAACGAGTGCAATTGAAGCAGGGGGAGGAGTAAGAACGTGCTGTGAAGGTGGTGTAGCCTCTTGTTCATGTGGGGCGACTCAGTCAGACAAAAGTCTAGTGCCTGTCGTGCGTGTGGAGCGCGTGGTTGTTTGGCAGCGTCTTGCAACAATGAAACGCTCAAACAACCCCATCGTGCCGATTCCCTTGGGAAGCGCATAACGAGTGCATGGCGAGGTTTTTAGGGGGTATGCCACTTTTTGTACTCACTCGTTCAGATCAGAAACGTCAGAATAGATCGGTAATGTCAGTTTTCTTGAAATCCTTTGAATGGCTTATGATTTCGATTTGAAGTAGCCACTCCTGCGGGACAAGTCTTATTGGACTCACTGCTCACTTACTATGACGGTAATATATTTCAGTTGCCTTGCTTTTCCAACAGGTGTGCTCTACAATGTTTGTAACGCACTCAAGTGTCAAAATGTTTGCGTAATAAAGTGTATCACCCACTAAAATTTGTGTACTACTCACTAGGCCGTTACCCGGAAGAGGTAAGGGTTTCTTTAGCTTTCAATAGGCTGGATAAAAACTAAGCAAAAATGAAAAAGGCCGGTGCAAATGAGGACGTTTATTCCTATCCAAATCAATACGTGAAGCAAATCGCGCAAAAAAGCTTTGAGCCTACGTGTTCGCAATCTTAGAAGCAACAATATCGATGGCCGGGGTTGCAGTTCCATCAAACCGGGCGGCGTCAGGCGCTGCAGCTAACACCGGCCAGCGGGCGCCTGATGCACGAAACAGCCGCCACGAAATAATATTCAAAAAGTCTTTCTAAATTTATGCGCACCGTGCAACAATGAGGTTTAGTCGCACGTTTCACTTGTGTACTTTTAAGGATGTTCTCAGAGCGGATAAACAGCGACAGCAGCATAGGCGGATCGTGGGGGGGGGGGGGGGGGGGCACACGGCCATGGCCTCCCCAAAACTTCTGAGAGTATGTTTTGCCCCCCCCCCCCCACACATTCCCAGAACTTTATAGAAGCTTCGTCTACTTGCCGTCCGTTTTAACTTTAACTGTTTTAACTTCTGTTTAAGATTCAAAGGCATTTCGGTGCTTTTTTCGGTTTTGAATGGTGTTCCTACTAGGTACTCGCGAGGGGCAGCATGCACTGGACCCCGGATCCCACACCAGCTGGCTGGCGGCGAACGGTTGTCCCCCCCCCCTCAAAAAAACAATCCAGCCTAGATCCGTCACTGGACGGCAGCACGAATATAAAAATTCCACCTTTACTTGCCTAGTTCCACGGTCATATGCCAGCACCGGCCTGCTGTGCTGTGACTGCTTATGCGTTCATATGACAAGTCTAAAAATTGCTTAGGTGACGCAAACGCAATCCACGAATTACCTTCTGAGCGTGCGAAATGACGTCCTCAAACGCTGAAAGATACTTTTTTCGGAAAGGATGTCGTTTTTGTCCGCTCGCCGGCCGCCGCCTGCTGTTAGCCACGGGTCCGACGCCGCGCGGCATGCGGCGACTGCAACGTGATGCATCAGGGTTTTTGTTATCAGGCTTCCGTGCGCACATGGCCAAAGTGCCTCCACATAGCTGTGATAAAGTATTTTTAAAATTCGATTCTGGAATAAGGTTATACGCTTCTAGGCAAACATAGGTCGGGCATGTCAAAATGAATCTATGGACCCCATTTCAATCTACAACTTACGTTCCCATCATCTACGCTCCCAATGCCTCTGTACGGCAATGAAAAAATCCGACTCCTTCTCAATATGAGTAACATCATTTAGAAAGAGCCCACTGAACAACTAAAAAATGAAAAGCAATGGTGGTTTATTCCATGCGGTCGTTTAAGGCCTGGCCCCCTAGGTTTATTGACTTCAAGTTACAAAACGAAACGAATCTTTCGGTGCCTTCTGGCTTGTTTAAGTAAAGGGTACACATTTTTTTTTAAAACAGCGGAGCAAACCGTGCCCCTTAAAATCAGATGGGTAATATCTGGTAATGTTTTGGGAGAGGGGCCTTACGTCCTTTTTCAACTCTGTTGCCCTCCCCCTTGCCATGATTCTGGCTGCACATCTGCGTTGCTGAGCCTATTGGGCATTGAGTATGGGAACATTAACATAACCACATGTGGCCACTGAAGAACCAGCTCAACTCGCAATCCCTTGACACTCAATCTGCATTACGCATGACATTCACATCCGGGGTCTTCACTTGTCATACATTTGAATTGGAGCGGGTTAGGGTCGCTTACTCTTGAGGCGTAATTGCTGGAACAGTATCCCCAGAAGCACAGCGGGCTTGTAATGCATGTGTATGACAATGAGCGGGGTGGGGGGGGGGGGGTGACATTCTCAGTAGGAAGGCATCTGCTAAACTATTTAGGGAGACGTTGAGGATCATTTCCAGAAATGATGTCTGCTTCTGGTTCCGATTTTGTTCGGTCAAGCCCCGGCCAACGTATTAGTCAGTACTCGAGGTCCAGGCGGTGACTTGCACAGATACGGGGTTCAGTTAAAATGTTTCTACTTATGCGCGAGAAGTACAACTTTTCGTTGACGACATCATTATTGGAGGACTGTCGATCAGAAATACAAGTCTCGCTATGTCCACATGACTTTTCTTTAAATAACGCTCGACGGCGCAGAGCTAACTGCTGCCGGGTTGCGCAACCGTCCAAGGGCCGACGTGACCTTTTTCCGTTCAAATCACCTCTTGACTTGACCCCAGTGCCGGGACCGGCCTGACCGTAGACTGATGACATAACACGGCTGCCAAGGAGCAAAACAAAAACTATAAGCAAGAGAGGAAAATATGTCTGTTTGTAGCACTGGAAATCGTTTGTGCTGGGATAGGTTACCAGCTGGCATTACAACACACTCTGATTTGTGTTTCGGTTTTATTCGGCCGATCCTCCGACAGCGTATCACTCAATGACTACCATATCTTATGGCCATCACTCTGCGGACAGGCTGGCCGTAGTTAGGTATTCGCATTCAAGGGGTGACTTGAACAAAAAAGGTAATGTTGGCCAACGAGAGATTTACATTGCCGGTAAATAGTACTCATACAATGACACTGTCCCCGCAGGGTTGCACATTTCACACACAAGTAAAACATTTAAAAATGGACCCGCATCCGTGCAAATCACCGCTCCGGCCGTACCGCAAGCATCGAGAAATACGCTGTCGGTTGTCGACCGAATGAATCGAAACCAAAATCCGAGTACATTGCGCCCGCGGCTGATAGCTCTGTACTAGCGCGAATGAATGCCTACATTTGTAGTCTTTGGTTTTGTTGTAAGCATGTTACCCAGACTGCCGTATTATGACTATTTTCAAGGGGCAGGCACGCCTCGGCTTACACTTCTTCCGCGCACAAGTAAAGATATTTAAAACTAGCTCCCGTATCTGTGCAAATCATCGCTCTGGCTGGACTGGAAGTATTGAGTAATACATCGGCGGGAGTGGACCGAGCAAAGTCGAAAAGAAAATCCGACGAGCGTGTTCTGCTCCCAGCTGATAGGCTTACACCAGTGGCATCACGTGCACAAAGTAGCAATCTTCGGGTTTTATTTTAAGTAGTTTCCCCGGGCCGCCGGTCATTACTCTGCGTTCAGGCCGACAGTGGTAAAATCTGCGCTGTCAAGGTGTTTGAACGATAGAGGTGTTGTCGGTCAACGCTATATTTACATCGGGCCTGTGAACTGCACCGAATGGTCTTCAAGATGGCTATTTCATTTGGAAACCCCATATAAATGTGGAACACCTCCTTAAAGGGACGCTTACGGCCGGAACATTTTAAATCAATTTAACAATTTAAAAGTACCATGCAATGTCATGCCACGGTCGCCCCGTTTCAGCCTGACTCTTTCAGCCTGGTTACCAAAAACTACAATAAGTGATCTTCAAGATGGTTATTTCAGTTCAAACCCTCATAGAAATGTGGAACACTCCATTTAAGGACAGAATGACTGCTCCGAATGCTAGAATGGACCCTTAACAGTAAATAATGGGTCGTCTACAGATCAGAATGGGCCTCTACAGGCCAGAATGGATACTCTTCAAGCTCAGAATTGCTCTATTGGACAAAAGGAGCCTTTAATAGCCCAGAATGAGCCCTCGACACGTTAGAATGAACTTTGCATGCGTCCCCCCCACCAGCTTTAAAGTTGGGGAGGGGGGGAGTTACCCCCACAGACCCTTCCCATCCCTGGTTACCTCGTGCTTGTTAGGGTGCAATCCCCACCCTGAAGGTGGCGCATAGCCGGTAGCCGCAGTTGTTCAAAAGCAACTCGTGTTGTTTATCTTATGAAGCTCTGACTCGTTTCGGTCCCGTTCCGTTTTACTCATGTCTACAAGACTCATGTGAACCATGTCCCATGTCTTCCCGTGCTCGGCATGCGTACGCATTTTGCACACCAATCTTATGTGCACAGCAGCAGGTTCTGAGAGCGCGGGTAAAAACTTCTCTAATTTGGTAGCTTTGTGCCGCATTTTCCCTAGCATGGAATTTTCGACCTGCCGAAATAAATACCCGCCTGCAGGTGTAAATTGAAATATTGAGCGATTTTAGTATGGGAGTGTGAAAATACACCACGGGCGTGGTGTAAGCAGTCTAAGACCACTTCCTGCCGCACTACGGTTGGATTACAAGCTACGCGCGGGCACGAAGTCCCCAGCAGGTCCGATCGGACAGAGGTCCGTGAAATCATCGCTGGTTTTCAAATAGGGAAATTATTGAGCTCAGGGGCCTAGTTAGAAAACTGAGTTGGAAGGAGGGGCTGAACAGCGAAAAAATAATTAGGCCTACCCAAAATAATCAATAAACAGGGTTTCTTGTGGATTTGTACCTCTATCTTTTCGAAGTTGAGGGGGATGAAACGCAAGTTGAAGGAAGGGGCTAAGCCCCCTCCTCTCCACCAACTAAATAGAACACTACACCTCTGGCCGACCAATAAGATTGGAGTCGCGAGAGTCATGCACAAATTGCTCGCCCCACACGTTCATGATAAGACAGTGGTAATAGCTCTATTCCTTGTAGAAACATCAGGAGAAGGGTACAATAAATGCACTGATATTTCGGCAACATGCGTTTACCGTAACGGATAACACTAGTCGAACACTCCAGCCTGCTGGCTCGAGTAATATGATAATAATGAACTGAACACTGACTACTGTTATTGGTTTCGATAAAGGCATGTTTCTGAAATAAGAGTTCTTCTATCATTTCATTCACCTGTTTTTTTTCTACGAGGAATAAGGTTATTACCACGGTCTTATCTACATGCATAAATGCATAATGTTCCCCGCAAATGCACAAACAAATTACGTAGTCCCACACGTTTGTGTTGAAAACTTGGGCCGGACGGTACGGGAAAGCCTTTGTTCGAGAGCCTGAGGAAATTTTTCCGGCGATGTGTCTTGGAAGTCATGCGTAACGTGTTTCTTGAGGTTCCTGTTACTTAGGTGCTTTATTGAGGCAATTGGCCGTTTCTGACCTGTCTCGCTGGTTGCAAGCGACGTCCCATGCTTCTAGGCCAGGGTTGTAGTTGGAGCCAGCCTAAAGGGCTTTTCCAAGACAAAAAAAACAAAACAAAACAGTAAAACACCATCTTTACTTGTTATTCAACGCGTCATTAATACGATTACATGTGTTTTTATGCTCTATCCACTACCCAGAGCTGTCAGCACACTTTTCACAAATCAGTGCAATGAAACAGTGTACAGAGTACCAGTGACGCAAGCAGGGGGTATAGGGACACGCACTCCCTGGGATCTCTAGGGCTCCGAGGGGCCGTAGGACAACTCTGAACAGATGATTAAGGGCCTGATTTGAGGATATAAAGGGTCCGAAAAGCAGGCCGCAGGCCGGACTGGGATGATGGGTTCACACATAACATTCAGGGGGCCCTTTGCGCCGATCGGTGACTCCCTGAGTCGTAAAGGCCGACCTTTCAGTCGGGCACCACCAATGCCGCAAAGTCGGCTCCGTTTCAGTATGGGCTCACTTCCCAAGCAACGACAACGACTGAGGGCTCACTTCCCAAGCAACGACAAACTCGGGACCAGCGATTTACCCTGGTCAGAGGCCCTGTACCAGCCCGGGACCTACAGTGCCTAACAGGGTGTCTCGTGCTGGTAAGGGGTCCCGAGCCGACCCAAGATAGTGTTCGATGAGGCCCGAGGAAGGGTCTGGAGGCCCACCGGAACCGACGATCAAGGGTCCGGTTAGAGGGCATAAGGGTCCGAAAGGCTGGCTGTAGGCCACGTAAAAGATCCCGGCCCGTGGGACCGTGACCTGAAATGTAACAGGCTCCAATCGGGCCCTTGATCGGCGGAACCGGTTGCCCTCTAAGCTCTTCGGCCCTCCTCGATCACTGCCTATGGCCAACTCGGGGCCCCTGGCCAACTCAGGGACCCTGCAAGGCTCTGTGGGACCACGATTTATGCAAACAATTTGCTCCTGTTTGTCCCAGCTTAGGAAATGGATCATTGGGCTCATGCTGTCACGCAGCCGACTGTGCGTTGCTGGTGATACCTGACCGAAAAATAGGCCCGTATCGGCTTAATAGGCCCCTCTCCAGCGCGCAGGGCCCTCTGGCTGGCAATGGAGTGCCCGATCCTGTGGGCCGGATTCCCAAATGTGACCTCCGGCCGGTCTTTCGGGCCCTTAATGTGCCCCCTGTGCCCCCCCCCTGCCTGCGCTACTGGACCTAAATAACACGAAAACGAGCGCACCCTGGTGTTGAATGCTATACTCTTCACTCACACTCGAGGTAACCGCGTTGTCAAGCAAAAACTCATTTACAAAGCGAGAAATGTCAGCGAAACTGGCAGTACCCCGTAGTTCATTTATGGCGTTTCCACTACGCCCATGGTGTATTTTCAAGCAGCCGTGCTTGAATTGGTCAATATTTCAATATACGCGGCCCGCATCTTGTTTCCAAATTGCTGCAGACTTTTTGCTTAGAGACTTCTAGGGCTATTTCGTGGTAATGCCGGGCCAGCGAGCCATGGAGGTGTGGGGGGGAGGGGCGGGAGTGGTCAGGAGTGGCACTGAGCGCGGGCCCGGGGTCAGGGTCTTTGGAGCGGTGGAGTCGGGGGCGGAGGGGGTGCGGGGCGCGGGCGTAGCTACGTCCATACGCTGCATGTGGAATTAGTCCAGTTTTACTACGTGAGAGGATAATAGGAGAGGCAGGAAGCAGTCTCGTAACTCTGGTGGTGTGATTCTCTGAAATGGAGGGGGCTGAGTATGCGTCTGATATGCGGGAGGGCGAGGTGAGTCATTATTTTGGCTAGCGACAAGTTCTGTTGTGATAATGGTCGTTGTTGATTCTTCTTGCCCACCAAATGTTAAGTTTTGAGTCAGAATTTGATTTTCCTTGGGACTCTGACCCTGATCCTGACTTCCAACACCCTGAGGTCTTGTCCCAACAACTTAAGAGGATTTGGTGCCAAAATAAACTTTTTTACTAGAAAAATGAAACAATAGAATAAGTTACATGAAGGTTAGCTTGCCTGGTAACATTGTCAAACCTGTTGTACCTACCTTACTTTCAACCTTTTGGTGTGGGTTCAGGTGGGCTGAGTTCACCTGGGGAAGTCGGCTTTTTTTTACTTGGGTACCTGTATTGCCGACGGTGGGGAGAGAGCTACGCTGGCTGCAGGGTTCCTGTACTGCCATGATGGAGAAATGCTGTTAGGTATCAGCCGACGTGGTGACGTCACTGAAAATGGGTTTGCATCGATCGGGGTTCTTTTGGGCCGACTGAAGGCTACAAGGCATTTGCTAGCGATATGATGTCACTGGTATTCGACTGGATATGTGACGTCACTGGTTGTGAGGCTTTAGGGCTCTTTGGGTGCAATGAATGCCGTAAAGCATCACCTGACGATATGTCGTCGCTGGTATTCAATGAAACATCAGGCGCAACGGGCCTTATTCCATCTTTACCTTTCGTACCTGTCTGCTGCAAGCATTTGCGTGCCGAATAAAAGCTTGACCGAATCACCTGAATGTGTGACGTCACCAATCATCACTTGATACGAGTGCACTTAGGCCCCACGGCCGCGGTGTATCATGTTCCGTGAAATATCACCGGGTATCGTGACGTCAGTGATATTCGACCAAATATTGGTCGCAACAGGTCAAGGTTCATTTTTAGCTTCGTACCTGTCTACTGCAAGCACTGGCGTGATGAATAAAAGCTACCAAATCACGTGAGTGTGTGACGTCACTGGTCATGCATTTTTAATTGATCTTTGGGGGCCAACTGAGGGCCGTAAAGCATAACCTAATGATGTGACGTCACTGGCATTCGGACTGTGTGTGATGTCACTTGTGATCAGATTTTACGGCCTCTTTTGGGCCGACAGAAAGGTCATACGACGTTACTGAAGATGTGCCGTCACTGGTATCCGAATACAATTCAGGCGGCCATGGCCATGCTCCATCTTTACCTTTGGTACCTGTCCGTTGCAAGTATTTGAATGCTGAAGGAAGGGTTTGCCGAATTACCTGAGGTGTGTAACGTCACTAACCATTAATTTGTATAGACTGTTTTGAACCCACTGTAAGCCATACCACATCAGCTGACCATATGACGTCACCGGTTTCGTCTAGGTGTCATGCCAACAGGCCATGCTCTATCTTTGCCTTTCGTACCTGTTTACTGCAAGCATTCGCGTGCTATATCAAGGTGATGCTGAACCATCTGAGTGCGTGACGTCACTGGTCATGAGTTTATACAGGTTCACTTGGGCAGCCCAATGCAACAAAGCATCATATCCTGTAAAGCATCGCGGGATGATATGACGTCACTGGTATTCGACTCAACATCAGGCGCAACAGGCCATGTTCCATCTTTACCTTTCGTACCTGTCTACTGCAAGCATTCGCGTGTTATATCACGTCATTGGTTAAGAGTTCTTACGGGCTCTTTTCAACCCCCTATATGGTATAATGCTTCAGTTGACGATATGATGTCACTGGTGTTCGACTTAACATCAGGCACAACATGTCATTTTCCACCTTTGCGTTTCGCACCTGTTAAAGTATTGGCGAGCCTAATGATGGCTCTGCCAAATCACCTGAGTGCGTCATCATGAGTTTTTACAGGCTATTGTTGGCCGAGTGAAAGCCATTAGGCATCATCTAACGATATGTCGTCACTGGTAACCCACTAAGTGTGTGACGCCATTGGTCATGAGTTTTCCCGCGCCTTTTTGGGCCGACTTAAGGCCATTAGGCATCAGGTAACGATATGACGTCACTGGTATTCAATTAAGCATCAGATACAATATGTCATGTTTCATCTTTACCTTCCGCACCTATCTACTGCAAGTATTCGCGCGCCACATAAAGGCTCTGCCCAATCACCTGAGCGTGTGGTGTGACTGGTTATGAGTTTACGCGGGTTTACTCGGGCTGACTGAAGGACATCAAGCATCATCTGGCGATGTGACGTCACTGGTATTCAACTTAGCACCAGGCGCGACAGGCCATGTTCTTTACCTTTCCTACCTGTCTATTGTAAGCATTGACATGCTTAAGGAAAGCTCTGTGAAATCTCCTGAGTGTGTAATGCCACTGGTCATGAGTTCTTTACGGGCTGCTTTTTTGTACCTATAGGGTATGAGACATCAGTTGACGATATGACATCACTGGTATTTGACTTAATCTTAGGCGCAACAGGCCATGTTCCACCTTTGCCTTTCGCACCTCTATACTGCAAGTATTCGCGCGCTACATAAAGGCCCTGCCGAATCACCTGAGCATGTGGTGTAACTGGTCATGAGTTTACGCGGGCTTACTCGGGCTGACTGAAGGACATCAAGCATCACCTGACCATATGACGTCACTGATATTCGGGCTGTGGCCCAGACTTATGGCCGCTAGGCGGCGCCCTTGATTATTATTTAGCCATCAGGGCATTCCGGACCGTAGCTGCTCAGGGGCGCATCCTGTGATGTCGGGCGGAATAGCTTTGCATATACGTCGGTTTGTGGGCTGGGATCACCTTTGTTTTGTGTTTACTTTTGTTCAAAATTTTAGTCGTTGAAACAGCCCGTTGCGTTTGAAGTTGTTACTTAATGGTGCGCACAATAAAATTAGTGTGCTTAACTATGGTGCATCTCCCATCTCTGCTGCGGAACTCCGTAGCCGTAGGTGGCCAAGTGACCTCCTACCAACTGATGATCAGTGACGTCACATACTCAGGTGATTCGGCGGAGCCTTCATATAGCACGCGAATATTTGCAGCAGCCAGGTACGAAGGCAAATATGGAGCATGACCTGTTGCGCCTGATGTTTAGTCGAGCACCAGTAACGTCATGTCGTCAGCTGATGCATTTTAACCCAAAATGGGTTCAAAGGAGCCCGTAAAAAACTCGTGATCAGTGACGTCACACACTCAGGAGATTCGACGGAGCCTTCATTCAGCACGTCAATACCTTTAATAAACAAGTACAAAAGGTAAAGAAAGTACGTGGCATGTTGGACCTGATGTTAAGTCGAATAACAGTGACGACATATCATCCTGTGATGCTTCACGGGAGGTGTTGCTTTGTGGCCTTGGGCGGCCCAAGTGAATCCGTATGAACTCATGACCAGCGACGTCACCCACTCAGATGATTCGTCTGGAGTTTAGTCAATTACCAGTGACGTCATGTCGTCAGCTGATGCTTGATGTCCGTCAGTCAGCCCGAGTAAACCTGCACAAACTCATGGCCAGTTACACCACACGCTCAGGCGAATCGACAGAGCCTTTTTGTAGCGCACGAATACTTGCAGTAGGCAGGTGCGAAAGGTAAAGATGAAACATGGCTTATTGCAACTGATGTTAATTCGAATACAAGTGACGCCATAACGTTATCTGATGCCTAATGACCTGAACTCGGCCAAAAAAGGCCCGTAAAAGCTCATGACCAGTGACGTCACACACTCAGTGGATTACCAGTGACGTCATTTCGTTAGCTGATGCCTTATGGCTTTCGCTCAGCCAAAAATATTTGGTACAAATAATGACCAGTGACGTCGCACACTCAGGTGACTCGGCAGAGCCATCATTTAAACGCACCAATACTTTACAGGTACGAAAGGCAAAGATGGAACATGACCTGTTACGCCTCATGTTAAGTCGAACACCATTGACATCATGTCGCCAACTGATGCATTTTCCCCTATAGAGGGTTCCAAGGAGCCAGAAAAAACTCATAACCAGTAACGTTGCACACCCAGGAGACTCGATAGAGCCTTCATTCAGCACGTCAATACTTGTAATAGACGGGTACGAAAGGTAAAGATAGAACATGGCCTGTCGCGCCTGATGTTAAGTCGGACACCAGTGACGTCATATCATCAGCTGATGCATTATACCGTTTTGGGGTACAAAAGGTCCCGTAAAAAGCTCTTGACCAGTGACGTTACTTACTCAGGAGACTCGACAGAGCCTTCATTCAGCACGCCCATACTTCCAAGAGACAGGTACGAAAGGTAAAGATGGAACATGGCCTGTCGCGCCTGGAGTTTAGTCGAATACCAGTGACGTCATATCGTCAGCTGATGCTTGATGTCCTTCATTCAGCCAGAGTAAACCCGAGTTAACTCATAACTAGTTACACCACACGCTCAGGTAATTCGGCAGAGCCCCTGTGTCGCGCGAATACTTGCAGTAGATAGGTGCGAAAGGTACAGACGAAACATGGCTTAGATGGAGCATGGCCTGTTGCGCATGATGTCTAGTCGAAACCAAGTGACATCATATCGTCAGCTGATGCCTTGTGGCCTGTAGTAGGCTCAAAAGAGTGTGCAAATTAATGGTCAGTGACGTACACACTCAGGTAATTTGGCAGAGCCTTCCACGGCAATGCTTGCAATGGACAGGTACCAAAGATAAAGGTGGAACATGGTCTGTCGCGCCCGAAGTTCATTCGAATACCAGTGGCGTCACATCTTCAGTCATTGCCGTATGACCTTTCGTCGGCCCAAAAGAGGCCGTAAAACCTCATGACCAGCGACACGCACAGTCGAGTGCCAACGACGTCACATCGTTAGCTGATGCTTTATGGTCTTTAGTTGGCCGCACAAAAAATCCGCCAATACTTGCAGCAGACATGTACGAAAGGTATAAATGGAGCATGACCTGTTGCCTGAAGTTCAGCCAAATACCAGTGACGTCATATCGCCAGCTGATGCCTAACGGCATTTCGTCGGTCCTATAGGGTCCGTGGAAACCCACGGCCATTGACGTCTTACAGTCGTATAGCAGTGACGTCGCTAGCTGACACCTTGTGGTCTTCAGTTGGCCGAAAAGCACCGTTGGAACTCATGGCCAGTGATGTCACACACTCAGGTGGTTCGGCAGCTTTCATCCAGCACGCCAGTGCTTGCAGTAGCTAAGTACAAAGGTAAAAATGAAGCACGGCCTGTTGCGCCCAGTATTTATTCGAATACCAGTGACGTCACGCTATCCGGTGATACTTCGCGGACCACGACACACCGTGGTCGTGGGGCCTAAGTGCACTCGTATGAAGTGATGATTAGGGACGTCACACATTGGGGTAATTCGGTCAAACCTTTATGCGGCACGCAAATGCTTGCAGCAGACAGGTACGAAAAGTAAAGATGGAACGAGGCCGGCCGCGCCTGATGTTCAATCGAATACCAGTGACGACACATGGCCAGCTGATGCATTACGGCATTCAGTGGACCCAAAAGAGCCTTACACACTCACGACCAGTGACGTCACATACCCAGCCGAATACCAGTGACATCATATCACAAGCAAAAGCCTTATGGCTTTCAGTCGGCCCGAAAGAACCCCGATCCCGATCGATGCAAAACCATTTTCAGTGACGTCACAATGTTAGCTGATGCCTCACAGCTTTTGCCCCGCACGACAATACTCGAAACCCTGCAGCTGGCGTAGCTCTTCCCTCCGTCGGCCATCCAGGTACCCAAGTAAAAAATTACCGGGAAGTCATGGCATGTTATGTGTATTTCCATAGGTCTTGTCTGACCCTGAATCTGCAGTTGCTGATAAACCCAAGCCAATGGCTTTTGAAGAAAAAGATGCAGTGTACCTTGGTTTTGACTTCAGCACCCAACAGGTTAGTACCTTACTGCAAGAGTAAGAAGTTGGCTTTAAGCGACAGCATGCTGGAACCATTGCAGTGAATGCTAATTGATGCAATGCAGCTCATGATAAGGGATTGAGTGTGATAATTTCAGTCATTGGTTTTAATGGTGTGCATTTATATTTGAAATTGTATGTTTCAATCAAAATGCTGCCTGATTGTTAAGATAATGTGTTTCTAGCTAATGCCATCCTTTTGCACACTTCTTTGCACAATGTATTGGAGGAGATAAGAGGTGAATTGCATGGTGCTTGTTTTAGCTTTTTAGAAGCAATTTTTGGTACTAAAAGCTTTGTTTACAGGTCAAGGCCCTGGCTATTGACTGCAACTTGAAGGTGATATGTGAGGCATCTGTGCTATTTGATAGAGAACTTCCTGAATTCAGGTGAATGTTTGAAAAAGGCTGTGAAATGTGGTTACCAAGTGATAATTCAGTTAGGTTTTGCAGTATTTTTTAAAATATTTGTTCCAAATCATGAGTTGCATTGTGTCATTCTGAAAACCATCACACCAGGGTTGAAATGTAATATTTAGGTGCAAGGTTTTGCATTTGTTTTATTTTTTGGATAGCAGTGCAGTAAATAAAATTAATATCATCGCATCAATTGGTCACATCAAATCACAAGTAATCTAGTATGTGTGCTGTTGCCAAGAGGCTGTAAGCATCAGCAACAAATGCAAAATTTTAAGATAAATGTGTACATGGTTTAATAGAAAAGGAACTGAAGCAAAAAGCAGTCCTTAACCCAGGTACTCATTCCAACAGGGCCTCTTGTCATGTCACATCATACTGCATCACATCATGCCATGTCACCAGCTCATCTCTGCCCCATGTCCCTCCCATGCATCCAGGACCCATGGGGGAGTGAACCACGGCGCAGACTCACTGACAGCGACGGCACCGGCCATCATGTGGGTCAAGGCCCTTGACATGCTGATGGACAAGTTGCGGGTGAATGGTCTGGACTTCTCGCGGGTGGCCGCCCTCTCAGGTGCTGGGCAGGTCAGTCAGCCCAGCATCAGCTGTGTGATTTGGTCCACTGACTAGTGTTTGTAGGTCTGCATGGACCCTGCCAGCATAAAAGCTATCACTGACAATGTCATGTGACTTTTTCACTCAGGTGAAGCTATGGATACTTCCTTTTGCATCTGAAATCATTTATTGCATATTCAATAAGTTTTCAACCTTACATGTGAATGATATATAAGATGCTGCCAATTGTGTCAGGAGGAATGGTGATCTGACTTAGATTCTTTCCATGATATGCCTTTATAGAAAACCTTCTTCTGCATGTTAAATAAACCGAGCTTTAAACACAAAGCATCCTTATAGCTTGTTGATTATGGATAGTGGTAGGTGCTCTGTTCATACCTCCTGTCATGTGCAGTGGACCCTGTGCAGCTGGCAGTGGACGGATGCCATGCCAGCGCCGACTGTGGCCGCTGCCCCTGACCGCCCCCCTCCCCCCTCCCCCCTGCAGCAGCACGGCAGTGTGTTCTGGCGGACGGGCGCCGGCGCCACGCTGCGCGCGCTGCAGCCTGACCAGTTCCTGCACCAGCAACTGGAGTCGGCGTTCAGTGTGCGCAACTCGCCCGTCTGGATGGACTCGAGCACGGCGGAGCAGTGCCGCCGACTGGAGGAGTACGTCGGTGGACCGCAGGTACGAGCGCTGACCGAGTCCCGCACCGCACCGCACCGCACCGTACCGCACCGCACCGCACCGCACCGCACCGCACCGCACCGCACCGCACCGCACCGCACCGCACCGCACCGCACCGCACCGCACCGCACCGCACCGCACCGCACCGCACCGGCTCGAAGCGGGTAACGAGGGTACGGTGGAAATATGGCAACGAAAACGCGGACATGGTAGCAGCTGTCGCAGGACTGGGACCGGTAACGCGGTCGGATAAGTGCAAACGTGTCTTCGTGTACTGTGGAGAGGCACGCCGGTAGGGATGCCGGCCGGCCGGCGACCACCAGAGAATCTGCTTAACGGATGTAGCGATGAATGTGGGAGCAGAGCGTGATATCCTGTTCCTGTTTGCCTCTTCATAATTTAAGAAATTATTTGTGTGATTGCATTGTTCTGTGTCATTTTATTACCGTGGTTTTCCACTGTGTGGCGTGACCGTTGGGGGTAAGCACGGCGAGCTTCGCGTTCGTGGCGTTGCGTCCACTTAGACCGTATTCTGCCGGACAGAAACTGGCTGACATCACCGGCTCCCGGGCATACGAGCGGTTCACGGGCAACCAGATCTCTAAGCTGCACCAGGTCAACCCGGAGGCCTACAAGAACACGGAGGTGAGGTCGGCGTGGTGGGGCGGAGCGGACACCTTCGGACGAGCACACGTTCGGAGGTGTGGCTGGCCGGTTTGGCCGGGCTGCGCTCTCACTCCCCCGCGGGGAGGGGAGGATGCGGCCCGGGGAGGTGTGGTGGCAGCTGATAATACGCTGAGGTCCGGCCACCGTTTTGTTGTCGGCTCTGACGCAATTCGATGAAGGTGACGGTCGTTAGTTCGTTGTTATGCCTTGCGTGTATGCTGACCATGTGTTGATTACTCCAACATTCATGTGTTGCGTGACGTGTCGTTTGTCTGTATTTTGGAGTGCATGCGCGTACGGTCCAAGGCTTGGTCAGGCCTCTGTCGTGTCCTCCGGTCCGAGGCTTGGTCAGGCCTCTCTCGTGTCTGGTCCGAGGCTTGGTCGGGCCTCTCTCGTGTCCTCCGGTCCGAGGCTTCTCTTGTGTCGTACGGTCCGAGGCTTGGTCAGGCCCCTCTCGTGTCCTCCGGTCTGAGGCTTGGTCAGGCCTCTCTCGTGTCCTCCGGTCCTAGGCTTGGTCAGGCCTCTCTCGTGTCGTGCGGTCCGGGGCTTGGTAAGACCTCTCTCGTGTCCTCCGATCCGAGGCTTGGTCAGACCCCTCTCGCGTCGTCCGGTCCGAGGCTTGGTCAGACCTCTCTCGTGTCGTCCGGTCCGAGGCTGGGCCAGGCCTCTCTCGTGTCGTCCGGTCCGAGGCTGGGCCAGGCCTCTCTCGTGTCGTACGGTCCGAGGCTTGGTCAGGCCTCTCTCGTGTCGTCCAGTCCGAGGGTTGGTCAGGCTTCTCTTGTGTCGTACGGTCCGAGGCTTGGTCAGGCCTCTCTCGTGTCGTCCGGTCCGAGGCTTGGTCAGACCTCTCTCGTGTCGTCCGGTCCGAGGCTTGGTCAGGCCTCTCTCGTGTCGTCTGGTCCGAGGCTTGGTCAGACCCCTCTCGCGTCGTACCGTCCGAGGCTGGGCCAGGCCTCTCTCGTGTCGTCTGGTCCGAGGCTTGGTCAGGCCTCTCTCGTGTCGTCCGGTCCGAGGCTTGGTCAGACCCCTCTCGCGTCGTACCGTCCGAGGCTGGGCCAGGCCTCTCTCGTGTCGTCTGGTCCGAGGCTTGGTCAGACCCCTCTCGCGTCGTACCGTCCGAGGCTGGGCCAGGCCTCTCTCGTGTCGGCCGACGTGACAGTGGAGCCGCCTGCGTTTCAGCGTATCTCGCTGGTGAGCAGTTTCGGCGCCTCACTGTTCCTCTGTGAGTACGCGGGCATCGACCTGTCGGATGGCTCCGGCATGAATCTGCTCGACATCCGAAAACACGACTGGGACCAGCACTGCCTGGATGTAAGTAATGTTCTCATGCACTCTCCATTTGTCGCCGGCATGGATTTACTCCGTATTGCCTGTTTGGCTATCCTCAGATTGACTATCGCGCGGCTCCTTACTGCAATGTATCACATACTTAAAACGTTATCCGTACATGGACTTTCATTGCGTTGTTCCTTGCTGCAATGTACCGCGTACTGATAACGCAAAGCTGCGTTCTTAGATGTGTGTTAATGGTATGCATGCCTCCCATTTGGCCATGCAGTGACTTCAGTGTGTGGTATGGCATTTCACTGTGGGGATGTCGTGAGCGCAATCCATGTCTGACATCTGCCTGCTGGTCGTGTGTCAGCCGCGCCTGACCTCCGCGTGCGTGCGCCCGCCCCGGCAGGCGTGCGCGCCGGGCCTGCGCTCGCGCCTGGGCGCGCCGCTGGCGTCGGCCGCCCGCTGGCTGGGCGCCGTCGGCCCGTTCTGGGTGGAGCGGTACGGCCTGGAGCCCGAGTGCGGCGTGGTGGGCTTCACTGGCGACAATCCGGCCTCGCTGGCCGGCCTGCGGCTGCGGCCCGGCGACCTGGCGCTCAGTCTGGGCACCTCCGACACGGTGTTCGCGTGCCTGGAGCGGCCGCAGCCCGCCCTCCAGGGCCACATCTTCGTCAGCCCCGCCAGCGCCGACCGCTACATGGCGCTCATTTGGTGAGTGCCGGCCGGTGCAGCCGCCGCCGTCAGCGGGCCGACCGCTCGGAGCGCAGCTGCTCGGCTGGCGATGCCAGCTGGCGCCTCCCGGCTCCCATGGACCGCTCGGAGCGAGCCGCTCGGCTGGCGATGCCAGCTGGCGCCTCCCGGCTCCCATGGACCGCTCGGAGCGCAACTGCTCGGCTGGCGATGCCAGCTGGCGCCTCCCGGCTCCCATGGACCGCTCGGAGCGCAGCTGCTCGGCTGGCGATGCCAGCTGGCGCCTCCCGGCTCCCATGGACCGCTCGGAGCGCAGCTGCTCGGCTGGCGCCTCCCGGCTCCCATGCTTCTGGGGTCGCTCGAAGTATCGCTTTGATCTGCTGGTCCGGTGGGCTCTGCGGTCGGTCGAGCTCCGTTGTAGATCATAAGAAGGCGGTCGTCGGTTTGGGATCACTATAAGCCTGTATCGTGTTGTGTTTAATTATTGACGATAAAGATATGCCGATCAGTAGCGTGTTTCTCATTGACACGTGCTTCCTGTCGGCTTTAGGTTCGATGACCAACGGTTCTCGCGCGTGCCGTTGTAAGCTGCACATGTTTTCAACAAAGTACATCAGTTTCATGACTGAAAAATCAGGGCGTTGTTGGCAATAGCTTCGGCTGAACTTGTCTCGATCGTGGCTGTTTTGTGCCATTAAAGAGAAGCTGCAACTGCTCCGTCACTTTTGATGCAGAGGTGGTGGCTGCTGGCCTTGACCGCTCTTTTGTATCACATGCTAATTCTTTCGCACACCCGTTACCTGCACTGTTCAGCTGTGGTGCCGGTTGTGGCCACGCGTCCGTGATCCCTGTCTGGGCTGTGTTCCAGTTTCAAGAACGGTTCGCTGACACGGGAGAAGTACCGAGACCTGTGTGCGGACGGCTCGTGGGACACCTTCAACCAACTGCTGGCCACCGCGCCGTCGGGGAACCTCGGCAACCTGGGTCAGTGGCGCACGCGCGGCCAGCACGTCTGGCGGTGTGGCAGTGTCGCTCGGTGGCGGGCCTGTCTGTCCTGTCCGTTCGGCAGCCGGCCTGTTTTTCCTGTCCACCTGGTGTCCTCTCCTGTCTGTCCTGTCCGCTCGGTGTCCTCTCCTGTCCGTCCTGTCCGCTCGGTGTCCTCTCCTGTCTGTCCTGCCCGCTCGGTAGCCAGCCTGTCTGTCCTGTCCGCTCGGTGGTCCGGCCTTTGTCTGTGCAGCGGCGGATCAGCCCCGCCAGGCGTGTCTCAGTCCTGCGGGCTCCCTGACTGCCACAAGGTCTCTAGCGCCCCTCGTGCCGTGCCGCGCGGGCTCGGCCGGTTCCCAGCGGCGCCGTTACCTGCCGCCCCGGCCCTACCGGCAGGCATCTACTGGGGCGAGCAGGAGATCTCGCCGCGCGGCGTCGGCACACACCGGCGGGACCCCGAGGGCCGGCCCGTTGAGGCGTTCGACAAGCACACCGAACTGCGCGCCGTGGTCGAGGGTCAGCTGCTGGCCAAGCGCGCCCACGCCGAGAGGCTCGGCTTCGAGATTGGTACGTGTCGCGGCGCCGGGGCTGGCTCTGCCCGGCCGGCCGACCGGTCGCTGACGGCCAGCTGATCGACGTTGTTACGCACGCATCGCGGCTGTGTCACCGGTCCAGCGCTGGGCCGTCGGTCTGCTTGTGACGGATGTGCCGACGGTCCGTGCTGGGCCGCCAGGCCGCTTGTGACGGCTGTGCTGACGATCCTGTGCGAGCCACCAGGCTGCCTGTGTCGGCTGTGCTGGCAGTCCTTTGCTGGGCGCCAGGCCGCTTGTGACGGTTGTGCCGACGGTCCATTGCTGGACGTCAGGCTGCTTGTGACGGTTGTGCGGACGGTCCATTGCTGGGTGTCAGGCTGCTTGTGACGGATGTGCCGACGCCGGACTCGGTTGTGCCCCTGCGCTGGTGTTTGTCCCAGCAAGGCCGAGACAAACGTTTCACCGACACCAGCCGCACTTCGGACGGACCGTCAGGGGTGCGGCTGGTGTCGGTGAGACAGGTGATCCTCGTGCACGGTGGTGCCTATGTCTGGCGGTGGTGTTGCAGGGCCGGAGACCCGTGTGCTGGCGACAGGAGGAGCGTCCAAGAACCTCGCCCTCCTGCAGATAGCGGCGGACGTCTTCAACTCGTCGGTGTACACCCACGTAAGGAAAGCTCAAGCTGCGCTTGTTCCTGTTCTTGCGTGGATCTTTCTCGCTCATTTTATGTATGTAAGATAAATAATGAAAAAACAGGAGCTGTGTTTGCACATTTGCAGCATATGTGTCGTCAGGATGATACGGCCCACTTCACATCGTAAAGTTTGTACTGTTCTTGCACCAGCTTGAATGACACCAAAATGAGGGGACGTTTTGTAGTAAAGCTCTGTTTTACCATGAGCTGTGTCAGGTCCGGTCATCTCCCGGTGCATCCCACCATGGAGGAGACTTGTATTGTGGCCGGCGCCGCCGAAGCCCCGTGTTACCATGAGCTGTGTCAGGTCCGGTCATCTCCCGGTGCATCCCACCATGGAGGAGACTTGTATTGTGGCCGGCGCCGCCGAAGCTCTGTGTTACCATGAGCTGTGTCAGGTCCGGTCATCTCCCGGTGCATCCCACCTTGGAGGAGACTTGTATTGTGGCTGGCACCGCCGAAGCCCCGTGTTACCATGAGCTGTGTCAGGTCCGGTCATCTCCCGGTGCATCCCACCATGGAGGAGACTTTTATTGTGGCTGGCACCGCCGTCTGTCCCGCCTTCTTATTTTAAATGTCCATTTATGTTTGGGATTGTGCAATATACATAATATCAAGGGCACTGTATTTATCGATCTACGTTTAATCTGCACGCTCCGTTGTATTCCATGGCTCGTTTTTTTTCTGGCTGCGTGTTTTGCATTCAGTGTGGGATGGTTTGGCGGTTGACTTCACAAAGTCACAAGTGATGGACGAGTCACTCAAAAATTCAAGTATTGTGTCTCCTCTGTGGCCGTAGATAACTTGGCCAGAATGGGATCATCAAGTATCACGGATCACTGGGTTATCAGTGTAGTCGACTGGTTGTGAAATGTAGGGCTAGGTCATGTGCAGGGATGAAATTTTTAGTATGTAAAGTGCGTTAACTTTAGACCTACGCTGTCATCCATCCTGTGTGTTTCGTTTTCTTATCGGTGGATAAAATAATCTCTTTGTAAATATCTCGTCCTTCTTTTGTTAGTGTTCATCCATGTCGCCGTGGACGCTACAACCTTTCGAGCAGTTTATTTTTCCAGGAGTTATTTAAAACTCGCCTGTCCTGCACGGCTGGGTTTGTTGCCACGATCCCTCGTCTGACGCCCGCGCTGTTTGCTGGGTGCTTGTGTTGCTCGTGCCCTGGCTGTCGCCGCCCTCTCTGAACCGGGCCAGAGATTGTCTGAGCGCCAGAACGGCGGCGACTCCCCGCGTCACGTGTTCGATAGCCCCCGTCCAACGTACGTCATGGCTCCCAACGTACATCATTATTCCCCACGTCACGTCACGACTTCCGAGCCACGCCATCACTCCCACGGCGCGTCATGACTCCCAACGTACATCATTACTCTGCACGTCACGTCACGACTCCCCAGTCACGTCACGACTTCGCGTCACGTCACGACTCCCCAGTCATGTCGACTCCCCAGTCACGTCTCGACTCCGCATCACGTCACGACCCCACGTCCATCATGACTCCACGTCACGGCTCCCAACGTCGTGTCACTACTCCAAACGTCATGACACGACTCCCAACGTCACGGTATGACTCTACACGTCGTTTCATGGCTCCTAATTCATGACATGACTTCCTCACTTCACGCCACGACTCTCGCGTTCACAACTCCCTGACGTCACGTCACGACCCCCTCACGTCACGGCACGACCCCCTCACGTCACGGCACGACCCCTCACGTCACGGCACGATCCCCTCACGTCACGGCACGATCCCCTCACGTCACGGCACGACCCCCTCACGTCACGGCACGACCCCCTCACGTCACGGCACGACCCCCTCACGTCACGGCACGACCCCCTCACGTCGCGTCACAGCCCCTCACGTCACGGCACGACCCCCTCACGTCACGGCACGACCCCCTCACGTCGCGTCACAGCCCCTCACGTCACGGCACAACCCCCTCACGTCACGGCACGACCCCCTCACGTCACGGCACGACCCCCTCACGTCACGGCACGACCCCCTCACGTCGCGTCACAGCCCCTCACGTCACGGCACGACCCCTCACGTCACGTCACAACCCCTCACGTCACGTCACAACCCGCTCACGTCACGTCACAATTTGCGCGCCACGTCACGCCACGTCTCCCTCACGTCACTTCACGACTCCTTCATGTCACACTCCTCCCTCCCGCCTGCCATGCATGTCATGGACCCCTCACGTCACTTGATGCCGTGTGCCGTCTGCCCCGGCAGGACGTGGCCAACTCGGCCTGCCTGGGCGCCGCTTACCTGGCGAGGCTCGGCCGCGCTCGCCAGGCGGCCGGCGACACCTCGTTCGAGGCGGTGACGGCCGCCGCCGAACCCTTCCAGTTGGCCTGCCGGCCACGGCCCGACGCCCAACAGGTGCGTGCGTACGCGTGTGCGTGCTTGTATGCGTGCATGCATGCGTGCATGTGCTGAGGGGAAGTCTGCAGCGTATGCTGGCTCCGCGTACTTTGTTTCCAATAGCGGTAGGCTGCGGTCTTGAAACGAGGATTTTTTAGGCAATTAGTGCTGGTGAAAGAATGCAGTCTCTTAGTGCTGTGGGATGGTGCCCATCTGCTTGCAAACGCACGGAGTGACCTCGGGTGTTACTCTAAGCCCGCAATCCAAGACAAGACCAGAAGCAGCTGGTCATCCCGTTCCAGCGCCTGACAGCACTGTAACGTCAACCGTGGACGCTTACCTAGTGTTATCACCCGATCGTTCGGCTTACTGAAGGCCCCGTCCACCGGCAGACGTTGGTTCATGTGCTTGGTGGTTGCTCCTAATAGCTGTAAGGTTAGAATTACAGCTCGTTATTTTAGTTTTCACTGCCACGGGTAGCATACGGTACCTCCTGGAGATGCCATCTTTGAGATGGCGTCCGAGGTGAAATCTCTGATGGCATCGGAGGTGACACACGCCACCTCCCCATGACATGACCCGAGAACGCATGGCATGGCATCTCTCATGGCATTGCAGGTGACATATGCTACCTCACCATGACATTTGTCATGATATCGAAGGTGACGTATGCTACCTCACCATGACATCTCCGATGACATTAGAGGCGGCATATGCCACCTCACCATGACACCTCTGATGACATCGGAGATGACATATGCCACCTCACCATGACATCTCTGATGGCACCAGAGGTGACATAAATCCCCTCATCATGCGCGCCTAGGACTCTGTGGTGCTGAGAAACTGACGTGGCGAGCTGCGATTCTGACGCCGCTGGCACGTGTGACTGACGTCCCGAGAACGCTCGCCTCGAAGCCCGCACACGAGGCGGGCCGTGCTCGCCGCCGCCTGAGCTCGGTCCCGTGTGCCGCAGGTGTACGCGCCGCTGCTGGAGCGGTACGCCGCGCTCGAGGCGGAGGTGGCCGGCGCCCAGTGACGCGCCGGAGGACACCGTTGCGGCGGCGCCGCGGGGGTCTCTGCCCGGCGCGAGCGGGCTAGTGGGAGGGTCCTAGTGTGGGTATACGCGCCCGGACTTGGCGTCCGGGCCTTGGGTAGCTTACGAGAACGATTCGGTTCTAGCTGCGTTTGTCCGTGACCTGCGAGTTGCGGGGTGCGTGTGCGGCGCGGGAGATGCGGGTCGGCGCCGGCTTTTGCGCCGTGTCTGTGCTGTGGCGGGCCTGCGGCGTCAATGTCCCGCCTTCGCTGTCAGCTGCGCGTGTCGTGGCGGCGTGTCCGCCCGCGAGCCGTCGGCCAGTGCCTTCTGTCGCTTGCCCCTGTGTCGCGTCTGCCCCTCACTCGTCTCGGCACTGGGAGTGGCTTCTAGCGCGCGCGTGCCAGTGACCCGTGGGTGGCCAGTTGAAGCAGGTGGCGCTCGGTGACCCGCGGGTGACCAGTTGGGACAGGGGCGGTCTGCGTAAGGTGGGTGTTGCCGCCGATTCCGTCGTCATTTTCGAGCTTCTGTGACGTTGCATTCCGAACTGGTTCCTTCTGCGGCGTGGCAGCTGTTTTTGGCGCTGCCAACGTTCGCGTTGTTGATGGGTTTTCTACTTCCATGTATACGAGCGACTGCCAGTATTGGAACGTTGATGTTATGAAATATGTTTATTTTCCGGAGGAGAGGATTAATTTTAACCGCTTGATATTTACAATGACATGCAGATTTATGACTGTTGTTTCCCATTTGTTGGTCCGCACAGCCATGGTTTGCGTCAGGGCCTTGGCCGGGTCAAGGTATGTGACCACCTGCTGTGTCTTACGGAAGCATTAATCAAACGATGTTTGGGATTTGTTGTGGTTGGGGTCGCTTATGAACGCTTTTTGGCGCATGTTACGTCGCTGTGGCTCTGTGAACCACAAGTGATTATTTGGGGTGAAGGGACTGTGTCTATAATCACCCACTCAGCGATTGTCTACTCTCGTCACGGGTTTGCTTTGGACAGTAACCGCTCACCGGCCAGCTCGCACAGCTGACGCTCACGCTTACTGTAGCCTTGCTGACAATACAACGATAGATGGATCCCATTGTGTGCATTGTGGCGCCGATTCAGTCGTGCGGAACCAAAATTGCCGCGGCGTTCTTTAACGGCGTATTCGAGGCAACGCGTATTTTCCCTCGGCTCAGTATGTTTTGTGGTAGCGATGCAAGCTTCTGCTAGTACACCGGCCGTGAGCGTTCGCGGTCCTTGGCCGGGCTGCCGCCTTCCAGCCGAACCCCTGCACTGCTGACCGGCCGGGTGGACATGGGTCGGGGCGGACAGAGCGGTCCGGGCCTGCCTCCTGGGACCCCTGCACTGCTGGCCGGCCGGGTAGACATGGGTCGGGGCGGACCGAGCGGTCCGGGCCTGCCCCCTGAGACCCCTGCACTGCTGACCGGCCGGGGGCGGACCGAGCGGTTCGGGCCTGCCTCCTGGGACGTTTTGGCAAGAAGCCATCGGCGTTGGGCTGGCTGCGGCCACGGTGGAGTTCGCAGCTCTGGCCGGGAGATCTGGCTGCAGTCGAAAGCTCGCCTCGGCGAAGCCGCCTCCCCGTCGGCGGTCGTGTTGTTGCGTTTTCTCAGTTAGCAGGCTTTGCCAAGGAAACGAGGCCTGGTATGCTCAGTTTATGACTGAATCGCGAGCAGCCCTTCGCTGGTGCAACAACGCCTGCGGTGTGGACACGTGGAAGTTGTATCGAGTCTCAAACGTTCGAAGTTATATTTCTCTGAGAATAGCAGTACTGCATCGCCCTGTCATGCGACCGACTGAGAAAAGGAGACTAATCCCGTGTGCTCAGTGTATTGCGTTGAAACGAGAGCAGCTCATCACGGACGCAACGACGCTCGTGACGAGGACGTGAGGTAATTGTACCGGGTTTCAAACACAACATAATACTACTAAGTAAAAATGGTGAGGAATGGACAACATAAAACGTGGTGATGCGTGGTTCGGCCGAAATCTTGGCCACAGGTGGTCCACACTGATGGTTTCATCAAAACAAGTAACACCTCGACGTGCTCAACATTTGCTTGCGAAGAAAAAGTAGCACATTGTGAGACAAGATGCGAAGGGTCGGCACGGCGAGAGGAAGCAGAACGACATGAGATCAGACGAGAGAGGCGGCGCAGCGAGTGAAGCAGGCGACAGATGAGGTGCCGACGGGGCTGGCTGGCGTCGGTGGAGGCCCACGAGAGAGCAGCAGCGGCGGCGAAACTGGAGACGGTCGGCCGAGGGGAGACGAAGACTGAGAGGGGCGGAGGGTGGCTGCCGGGCCGGGGCGCGCCGCCGGACCACGGCCGCTCTAGCCCGTCATCATGGCCATGAACTCTGCGGAGCAGGGCGACACGCACCGTCAAGCCCACGCACGCACGTCCGGCCGGGCGGCTCTGACACGCCACGGCACGGCGCTTCCGGCTCTGAGCTCCGGCAAAAGCATTATACTAATTTGAAGAGCCTTTCGTTGATGTGTCTGCTTTGAATGACGAAGTTCAATAGACCTAGCTTGGCCGTCGGCGTTGTCTTGGCGTTTTGCAATAAAAATGTTAACTACCGTTCAGCGATGGTATCACACACCATGAGTATCGCGCTTCTTTGAGGGCCCTTTTAGCACACAGAAGGTCTACTTCGTCACACAAAAGTCCCCCGTCCCGGGTCACGTTCCAGGAGGCCGGGACCTACTCGTATGTACGCCACTCACTAACCACGCAACAATCAGCACAGTCCAGCAAGGGGACGCACATTGCCGCAAGCAGTCTCAGCTACAGCCCGCGTCAAGTCCGAAAGCTCGCATCACTCCCAGTCCCCGCCTGACGGCTGCGTGGTGAAGCTGTAAGCGTCTTCAGTGCAGACAGGGGAGAACGCCACCAGCGGCGAAGCAAGCGTGCCGTCTCAGCTGTGCCGCGGGGTGTGACGTGTGCGAGTTATCACGAGGTTGGGGGACAGAGCCGCAGCGCCATAGCCGGGACCGCGGCAAGGTTCCGAGTTCACTGAGTTCCGAGTGCCGCTCGCTGAGCAACGACAAAATGCAGTTCACCATGGCCGACCCCCTGGCAGACCCAGCGCAGTGGCGTGCTTCGGCACGTGCTAGCGTGTGCATTCGTGCTCTGTGTACTGTGAGGCTTTCATTTCAACTAAGCAAACACGTGACCCCGGACGTAGGGCCCATCCAATCAACCCAGACTATGGACAGCACCGGACCGGCCAGTGGATAACGCTGGTCGCGCCGTACCTTTGGAGTGGCAGAATAATCTGCGCTGCGACAAGGGGGTCCAGCAAAGTTGTGACAACCGACACCACACCCAGAAATGCGACGTCACATCATGCTAACATATTGCCTGCTTATACACGACTGCAGGAGTCACCGAGCAGCAGCTGCTACGCTAAGCTAGTGGTTCCCTTCGCCACCATTGTTACCGTCATCTAAATGCACTTCGCCGGCCCCGCTCTAGCCGGTCATCATTTCCAGGAATTCTGCAGAACAGAAAAGCACACGCATGGCGATAAAACAAGCACATCGGAGCAGCAGTATACGTTAGAAGGTCGGGTTGGCATTATGAAAGGCGAGGCAAATAAACGGGTGTTAAAGCAAACGCATACAGCACCCAAGCGCAAATAAATCGTCAAGATAGCTCGGCGGCCGCTACAGTGGTAATCGGTAACACCGTTCACAGCCTGCACCTGAAATAGATGTTATATTTGGCGGAAGTGTTAACGATAGCATGAGCGCCTTCGGATAATGAGAAAATATTAAAAGAAGCATTTTCCTGCGCATTTGGCCAATTGCTGCACCGCTAAGAACCTGTCTGAATAAATGACGGTAAAATAAGCTAGCGTCTGATGAAAACGGCTACAACTTCATGGATAACGAAATTCCTTTCTGGGTACCTCATTCCGGTCCAACCTTGACAACAACGTCCTCTTCTTCCCCAGCTGTCTGGACGAAGCCTTTCGATTTTGAAAGTGAGTTCCGACTGAATCCTTCAATGGGTTCGTCTCATACGCCAACATTTCCGAAAACGTTTACTGGCGCCTAAATGAGCCAGCCACCCGCGCTCACCACTCCAGGCCCGTGGACGCGTTCAGGCGCGCCTGGAAGACCATCACTCTGCCGGCTGACGGTGGCTGGAGCGTGTCCCGATCACCCGCGCCGCCGTCTGGCACTCTGGCACTCCGCCTACCCGCGTTTCCGTCTGGTACGCTGGCACTCCGACCAGCCGCGGCACCGTCTGGCACTCGTACCCCGCGCTCATTGTACGGGGAGGTGTCCCAGCCCCTCCCCTTCCGGGCCCTCCCCCTTCCGGGAAGTGGACCGACCGTGTCCCCACCCATGACGTGGCCCGAGCCCCGCCGTTGACCTACCGTCGAAGTCGACGGTGCCCGAGCCGTCCTCGTCGATCTCGTCGATGATGCCGAGCAGCTCCTCCTCCGTCAGCCGCTGGTCCAGCTCGTGCAGGATCTCCTTCAGCGTCTGGGTGGTGATGTAGCCGTTGCCTGCCGGACCGGCGACCAAGGTTTAGAACAGCCCCTGTACCAATAGTCTCAGTGCGGGATGCACGGGGAACGCAACATTACCGGGCTTTCACCTGGCCACGACTATTCAACAACAAGCTTTGTGTTCAAGACTGTTCATTGTCGGCACTAGGAAATCCGCAGGACTTTGTCCATTCAGCACAGTGCCTTACCTTCCTTGTCGTAAAGACGGAAGGCTTCCTTTAATTCCTTAAGCATTGCTTCTTCATCCTCCTCTATAAGGAACTTGGCCGATAGCTGTAAGAACTCTGGGAACTCAATCTGTCCGGAGCCTGCAACACGAGCAGCGTCATGGTAAGGGTTGTGCCCATAGAGCATTCAGTTGTATGCCATTCCTGCGCGCGTCGCCTTTGTGCGCCCTGTGCAAACATGTCAGGTGTATGCTATGAACCAGGACATGAAAGCGCAAATCATGGCTCCCGACAAGACAGCTGAACTATTTGAGACGTTGCAAGCGTATCCGTGATACGCCATATGTGGCATGTTTCCAAATGCATTATCAAGAGATTTGTTAATTTTCCTCTCCATACCGTCCTCGTCGATTTCCTCGATGATGGCCTTCAGTGAGGTGGAGGAGACCTTGATACCCATCATGCGGAGGATGTCGCTGACCGTGTCGGGCGAGATGTAGCCCTTCTTGTCCTTGTCGAAGCCATCGAATGCTCTCCTGAGCACAACGATCTGCTCCATATCCAGACCCGTGCTTTCCTGCAGCAAACTCGAGTCAAGAGTGCAGGTGATCATCGCTCATGATAACACGTGCTCTAGCAGCTTCCGGTGTCAGGTCCCGGGTGGGTACGGAGCCGCAAGAAACGACGCTCTTCGTCCAGTCGTCTGCTGCGGCACAGCGCCGGGCCCCTTTGGTACCGTCTAAGCACAGATCTCCGACTATCCCTCGGCCTGCTCGTGGGACGGGCATCTGCGAATCGGAACACCTCTCTCGCCCCGGTTCGTGCCACCCCTCGCGCCCGGCCAGCGAGGGCGCCGGCTGTAGTCACGGGCACCACTCACCGCGTACTGCTCGTCATCGGCCATGGCTGCGGTGCGGTCGGGGTGGCGGCGGGCTCGGCGGGCTCGGCGGGCGGCGGGCGACTGCGCTGACCCGACGCGACGACGACGCCGGCCGGCCGGCGACAAGCGGTGCGCTATTTCTGGCGCCGCGGCCAGCCCAGACTGTCGCGGCGATTCCAGTCGCTTACTCGCCGGCCGACGCGAAACGGGACACCCGTTGGCGCGCGCGGCGGCGACGCCCCGCAGCCCCCGGTGCGCCGCCGGCCGCGCCAGATTATTTTTATGTCAAACGGGCGGGAGTGGCGTCGCCGTCCCTCCAGTCACTCGGTCCACGCCCACTGGTTTGTGGTTAGCGTGCAGGAAGAGTTAAATTCGGTGTCTCCCTAGATTAGTAACATTTAGTTTTATTCCTCCTCGATGGATGTTTGTCTTTAGCTTGGAAAAGTGTACAGGTCAACGAAATGTTACGGAAGATTCCTCAATGTCTGTTGTACACCTCGTCCAATCGGATAAGCGTGCGAATTCCGACTGTTAACCTCTTCTTCGCCCGTAATTGACCAGGCGGCCACCCAATCGGCATGTTTGTTCTGTCAGCAGACGGGGAGGTCACGTCCATCAGTGTCGTGTTGGCCCGTCAGCGGAGCTGGCGCCAGTGTCGGCGCGCCGCCTCCGATGCTAGGTCGGTGACGGGCGGCGGCGGGCGGCTCCCTCCGTGCCGGGAGCGCCTCGGCCGCGCCCGTCCAACGGCGCGGCTCAGCAGACCGACAGCCCTGGCGACGGAGGCGCTGTGGCCGGCTGTGGCGCCGCGCGCTCAATTGCTGCTGCCCTGCTGGCACCCCGGGCCAACTGGAAATCGGCGCCGAGTGACGCCTTGCCGAGGCTGTCCGTGACTAGGGTTCCAGGACGGCTGTTAGTTGTCAAGAGGCTCCTTGAAGTCTTTTCGCTTTCGTCTGCATGGTATCGTGGTATGAAAAGACTCTGAGTTTGACTATTAATCTCTATCGACAGCAAAGATGGTGAAGTTATCGGTGTCTTGTGCAGACTAAAAAGGGAGCAGATTGGTAGTTTTTAGGGATTTCGGCCTTGCGCAGTAGCGCAAGCAGGGGCGGGGGGGGGGCACAGGGGGATGTGCTCCCTCCCGCCTTAGGTTCCACGAGGGGGCACGTGCCGCGGTTATAAAGAATCGCGGCCCGTAGGGTCGTGAACTGAAATATCAGTCACAGGTCGTCCTGAACCGTTTGAAGATCCCTTCAGACAGCACGGGTGTTGAAGTCGGCAAGAGACACGAACGCCGAACAGTTGGCTCTGTCAGTCTACCCTGGGGGCTCATTTCCCAACAGGAGCAAGCCCAGTGGCCACAATTTGCATTGGTAAGGGCCCCTTCAACAATGTCGGGCCCCTGTATCAGTCAGGGACCCACAGTGCCTAACAGGGTGTTCTGCATCAACAAGGGACCTCGAGTCGGGCAGGGATGCACTTGCTCAACAGGGAAGGAGACGGGACCCT